GCCTATCGACCATCAAGTCCTGCTGCGCGGGAAAGACGGCGGAAGGTATTCAAGCGGATCTGGAGAGGCTAATAACTCATGGAATCGCCATCCGTGGACCCTCCGCAACGCCAGATCAACACGGTCGACTCCCTCTTGATAACGGCTACTCTCAACAAGCCTTGCGACATGGTTTCCCGGATGACCATGGTATGAACGACCCCAATCAGTTCAGTTCGATGAACTCCGTTTCGATATCCGCCATGACCGATTCAACTTTTCCTCCCTCACTCGTCGCCGACCCGTGGGTGCCCGAAAGTCAAGTCTCGCCAGATCTGCCTCACCCAAGTACCGAGGCCCAAGCCCCCGCGAAGCCAACCGTGAGCGTCCCCGAAATAGTACCGCGTCAAGACTTTGGAATTTCAGAGATCAACAACGCCTACGATGGAGGTACCGATGGATTAGGCACGGACAGCGGGTTGGAGTACGGGATGGGGCTCGATCAGAATCTCTGGATGCCAAACAACGACTGGCTAAGCATTGATGCTCTCAATGGAGGAGTTGGGGCTTGAAAAGGGTTCGGATCAGGCTAGAGGACTTGGAATTTCACACAGGGAGTTTCAAGGGTTCTTCAGAGCCATTCACGCACCAGCACACAGTTTCGGAACTCGCTGTGGGTCAATGACGCCCCGAAGCCCCGATCCTCAACCCGATGATCCGACAAACCCTCCGAAGGCAGGAACACTTCCATTAAGACGATGAAATTGAGATACGCAGACGAACGTGAATTCTCGAACTTCGAAACCGCCGCCTCATATTCTGCGGATGAAACAGAAACATTCATTCCAGGCAAAAAAATCAATATCGACCGACCACCCCCTACCACTCATCAAGAAGCACGAACCTAGAGACATAGCAGCCCTCGCACACGCTTCTTGGCATCAATCCCGTGCTGCTTGACAGAAGCTCAATGGAGCAAGTGTTGGAGCCCAGCTTTACTACCCATGAGGTTGATACGCATTACTGAAGATAACGTTCTCAACATCGGATCCAACATCTTACAAATTATCAGCGCGAGAACAAGCCGAGAACCTACTACACATATCCAAACACCACGACGTTTATGTATGTCAAAGCAAGAGTCGGAATGTTGGAAAAAAGCGGGGGCACTTGATGGATACGATACCCTTCACGAAATAATGCGCAGATGTTCTAGATAGTGTATTATCTTCATGTACATACAGTAGTCCGTAAAACACATGAGAAACGAAATAAAACATCAAAATCAAACACTTCATATCCATACAACGCCCTTGCGATCCTTTGGTCTACTGCCAGTAATGACCTTGACTTCCAGCATGCCGCTTTTCTGTTCCTACATATCAAAACATCCCACCGGTGCGCCAATACAGAACTGGAGATGACGAAACACAAAAACAAGGTAGCCCAGATAAACAGCAACCCCACATATCATGAGTATGGATGGTCACTGATCGTCTCAGGAACAAGCGTTGACATTACCAGTCCACGGCATGTTCCTAGATCTTGACGCGGAGGAGGTAGCGTAGCTTGACTTGGGCGACATCGTAACAGATGTACTCGTTGTAGTACAGACCAGCACCGTTTACGTTGGTATCACCAGGCTTGACATCGGGATCGGGCTGGAACAATGTTAATATCGGCATACACATAAGATCGAATAGTTGCTCGAATGAGTTGTAAACTTACCATCTTGATACCCTTAAGGCTCTCATGAACAACACCGGCATCAATCCATTTGCTGGGGCCGGTTCGACCTTGACCCCAGGTACTGTGCATGCCTTGCTTCTTTGCATCAGTGCCAGCATTGTAGCTAGCTCCAGTGAGCTTCTGAATAGGATCACCAAGCTCAGCTTCACAAAGAAGAAGCAAAGCTTCGCCGCCAGTGTTGTAGGAGCAGCAGTAACCGGCCGACTTGGAGGACATATCGGCGAGATAAATACCCTTGCCGAACATGTAACCTGACACAGGAGCTTCAGGAGGGGCAATTCGGAGACCCTGACTAAGGATACCACCGTAGTTTGTCGCTCGTGAGCCGTGCCAGAGAAGACGACGATCGGAAGAAATCTTGGAGTACTCAGAATCATCGAAACGCTTGAACTCGCCTTGTCGCTCAATACGGAAGATATCCTTGACAGTGTAGCTCATGTTATGTGTAGAACCACGAGACTCGTTGAGATAATTCTTAAGGTGGCTGAACTCGCTACTCTTGTGGTCAAGAGGAGTCATCTCCTCAAGGCCAAGACCCTGGAACTGGCGATCAAGAGGATGGATAGTATCCCTCGTCTTGCGATCGATCTTCATGATCTCAGCGGCGTCCTTCATGTCCGACAAACTCTCGAGAAGTTCTATCTCTCGCTTGAGTAGGGTGTTGTCACGGATGATAGGTGGCCGGTTTCGACCAAAGGCGTGAGGAATGAACGAGTAGTAGGTGTTGGAAAGGTGCTCAGTAGCAGCGGCCATGGTCGTGTTCCATTTTGATGCGGCCAGTGTTGGGTCGTCAATCAAAGCAGCGAGATCCTTGAGCTGCTGGAAACCACGAGTGATAGTTGTCTTGCTCAACTTTCCGAGTGGCAGCTTGTTGGCGTCGTAGTTTAGAGATGTCATGGCCTGTTGGAAGTATTGCTGGTTGAAAATGAGCTCCATCAATTCCTGGACGGGTTTCTCAAGTGTGCACTCGGGAGGAGATGCATCGTCTTCATCGTCATCTGCCTCTTTCTTGGCAGCTTTCTTGTCATCCTCCTCGTCATCGTCATCAGAGTCAGGGTTGTAGCTACGCTCGACGAACGCATACTTGCCAGGTTTGGGGTTGTCAGTACGGTTATCCCAAGCGAGACCTGACTTGTCCTTGAACTTCTTCTGGAACTGCTTAATAGCGTCATCAACGGTTCCGTCTCCGAGAATGGCCTTCTGACCCATCTCGCCAACACGGCCCCATCGAGTCCATGTCTTAAAGTCAGAGGACTTGGGATTCTTCAACACCTGAATGCGATAGAACTTATTGTTGTTTGCTGAGGAGTTGGTCTGGTTAAGGGAGGCGTCATAGATGAGACCAGAGTCGGGATCAACATAGACTTGGTAGGTGGGAAGAGTGCAGTGCTCATCGAGAGGAATGGCAACGTCCTTCTTCTTGATGAACTGGCCCTCAGCAACGACCTTTTCCTCCTCCAAGTTCTCCTCGGGCTCTTCCTTGACGGCAGCCTTGCCCTTAGCACCCTTCTTCGCGGCAGCCTTAGGCTTGGCCTTGGTCTTGGGTGCCTCTTCTTCCTCCTCAGACTCATCTTCAACATCAGCCTTAGCTTTGGTGCTCCTCTTGGTCGCTGTGGGCTTAGCCTTCGATTTAGGGGCAGCGCTAGTGCTTCTTGCGCGCTTGGTCTTGGGTTGACTCTCCTCCTCCTCATCTTCATCATCCGCGGCAGGGGGCGATCGCTTCTTTGACTTGCCATTGGTGGTAGCTTTAGCAGTACCATTGGTCTTGGAAGCAGAGTCCCAGGTATAGTCATCTGCGCTCAGCTTGTTACCCTTGGAGTCGATATCAATGAGCCACAAAGGGTCCACGACAGGAAGGCCCTTATCCTTGGCCGCTGTGACTTTGTTGCTTTGGGAGTTGAAGTCATCTTGAGTAGAAACAACATGGGTGGTAGCCTTTGTGACGCTTCTGGTGAATGATCCACCATGCTTGCGAATGAGAGTCTCAAGGGAGGAATGACTGTGACCAATGTCGTCAAACTTGCCGCTGACTGCGATCGCACATCCGTCCAGAGGTGGATCAGCTGGAGGATTCGCAGCACCTCTTCTTCTAGGAGGCATTTTGGCGGATATCAGAATGAATATGGTGTAAGAGTAGGGGAAAAGTGTAAAAGTTTAGAGGGGAATTTCCTCAACTTAAGACAAAGTTAGCAAATCTCGTAATAACCCTGATCATCCGTCGCGTGGAAAAAAGAGCTTGGTTCAGGGGCGTCATACCCAACAACTTTGAGCTGAACCGAATGCAGCAATCGCCGAATCTCAGGGCGAGCGATCCTTGTCCAATGGTGCGAGGAGCAGATTACGAGACGGAAACAAGCGGAAGATGATGATGGTGAGAGAAAAGAGTGAGATGAGTCGAGGAGGAATTGAAAGGTCTAGAGATGAGGTCCGCGCCTTCCCATTTTAAAGGTTTCCGTAAGCTTAAGCTCATATGAGGTGACGTTCAGCTGAATGGGAAGGTAGCACGGGCATCTAGGCTGAAACCCCCCACTTTGAGCGATCCTTTTGACAGCTGGGGCAGGTAGACAAAAAAGACCCAGTTAGTGGTCTTCAGTGATTAAGTGAACAACAGAGCACTGTTTGATTGTTTATAAAGCCGAATTAAAATCAAACACGTTATATCAATTTCTCGCCCGAGTACATTCTTCTGACTCAAGTAGTCAAAAGCGCCGCGTCTCGAAAGCTCAATGTTTGTAAAGACCAGCTCATTTATTCTGTCACCCCCAAATAGCCGAGGAGACGCGCTCCAGGCACCAACGCGCCAAAAGACCCAAATTCTAGGCGCGACCCCGTCACGACATCATGTGACCTCAATTAAACCCATCAAAGTGGGAATGGTTGCCTGAAATGAATGGATCCAGCCTCGAAGTTCAGGGGGAAAGCATGCCGTTCGAAGGCTGGGAAGTCAAAGATACGGAAACAATGAGACTATCAGCATGTGATGACTTCATTATAGGCTAGGTAACACGATATAAACCATTTATCTGTCCTGAACAATACACATGCAATCCACTCCATACTCTAAGGCTGTGACGTCGAACGACACAACATCTGTACAAAATATAGAATACCCAGATGCTCATAGCCATGGCTCTAGCACAAGCCCTCGCAGATATCTCGATACTACTACATGCCCCGATGATTCGAAACCCATGATACTGGTCGACTATTCCTCATCGTCCTCGTCTTCGTCGGAAACATCTGTGTCATACTTCGTTAGCAAAACCCCGCGCTTATAGATCAAGCGCATATAGGTCCCAAATACCGTCATCATCATCATCATCATCTCCACTGCTGTCTTCACTCGGCCATTGCACATTGATCTTGGGCATCAACTCGTGTCCAACAAAGTACTTCCAATCCGTTCCAGTGTACTGTTTCACACTTTCTTTCTGGCCTTCAAATGTGACAAAAGAGCGTGTTGGTCTGGAAGCCCATTGTTGTTGTGGAAAACTGATTTTGATGTGGTGCAAGTCGAGATTGGGAATGTCTTTGAGCTTCTCTAAAAACTTATTCCAGAAGCTGGTTTTCGGTGCAGTGCCTGAGTGTCCATCTGGTAGGCGTCGTCGAAGAGTGACTTTGTGTAGTTCCAATCTTTTGAGCGTAGGGGCAAACTTTCGGGCAACGGCAAGGAGGTGCTGAGATTCCACATTCATCATACCAAAGTTGAGCTCCTCCAACTGGTGATATTCCGGAGATGGCTCAGGAGGCGCAAGAGGTGATCCAGGCGCAGAAGACGGTCCGGGTTTTACTGGAGGCGTTGACGATGGGGTATTCTCGCGACCTAGCCACCCAAGAAGCATACCGGGACCAGTAACGCTGCTATGCGTCTCGTTGATGCGCAGGTGCTTGACATTCTTCAACTTGAGGAGAAACTTGCGAAGCATCATATCCGCAGTTGATGAATGGCCGGCAGCATCGTCACTGGAAAAGTCGCTACCGCCGAGCAAATCGATGTCGATGTGTAGTTTCTCAAGATTCTCCAAAACAGGTGTGACCGAGGCTTCCATATACGAAGGGATATTGAAGGCACAGTCTCGCAGATGATTCCTTGAATGCGACATGTGCTCAATACCCTTTGGCTTCGCACCAGCCTGTCCGAGGGCGAAAAGTACAGATGTGAAGATCGTGCTTCCGTAGGCCGTTGACGTATCAGGTCCCCAGGCCATACCACTGTTTTGGCCAGGACGAGTCCCAGTCTCCCTCAAAGCCGTAGTTGATCCATAGCTTGTCCACTGCTTACCTGGACCATCGCGTGTACGACGAACCGAGTTGAAGTCGCGAATGACGACATCTTCAAGATTCTCGAGGTTCTTGAACGCTTCCACAAGCATGTCCCGGTGGTACCCAGTACTCAACAGAGAAAACTGACCATTGTACAACTCCATCTGCCTCGCTGTCCTAGCATTGTGACCGTGAACTTGCAGCGCGTGTGCAAATCTATCAAGCCCAAAATGAACTTTGCGAAGATGTGGACTGAGTCGACTCTTTGAAATGTCAATCAAGGCCTGTAGACTGGTTTCTGAGATCATAAACTGCTTGCGGGTGAAGAACTCATTGGTAAAAGTAGTGTACAAAGCCTGCTCGATTGAGCGACATGCCAGACGGACATTGCCTAACTCGGGAGTGGTGAGGAAGTAAGTAATTCGTAGAAGAACTTCGAGAGGGATCCTTTGGAATGGAGACGATGATGTTGCGGCCATCGTGGGGGTACTGATATCGACCATGGCGGTGTCTGAGTCGGCTGTCATTTTGCAAGATTTTGCAAAGTTTTTTTTTTTTAGAAAAGAAAGCGCCGGCTGTGTGGAAAATAAGAGTAGTTTTTATCGCTTGGATATGTCCAATGATAAGTGCGTCGGTGTGAGTGAGGTGAGAAAGTCAACCCAAATTGACTGGGTGTTGTTGATCACGGTAGATTAGAGCAGGCAGCGAACAGGCAGTCGCTCCACTCATGCACGTCTTGAGAAGATCAGTCAGGGCTCATTCCAGTGTGGTACATATTGTTTGCTGTACTTACGTGACTCAATGTTGATTTGCGCAACTCATGCAAACAAATCGCAGCACCTTGTGTGTGTATTCTAAGATAAGATGAGTGAGGTGAGAACAATTGATCGAAATGACGTTGAGACTCGGGTGAGGGGACCTTGGACGCTACAGGCAGTGATCCACCGAATCATGGCCCTTGCCCCTTCCTTACATGCCATCAGCTTCAGGGTAATTCAGACTAACAACAAATCACTTAACACCAATCCACCACTCAATGAGAATGAAGGGCAGAAATCCAACAATAATAACAATTCATGCTGTAAAAGAACTGGCACTCTACCAGTATCAACACCATACATGCTCACACATGGTATCTCATGTAACAAATCCCTGAATCAATGCATTTCTCCAAAATCATCTATCCTTAAATGCATAAAAGGAAACATCGTCTCATCCTCTATAAAGCATCCATATAAATCTTATAGACGCCCAAGCGCCAAACATAAAAACACGGGGGTATAATATTTCAGCACCAGCAAACAACTCAGCGACCACCCATAAACTCATTCTGTCGCAGGAAGCTCGTCGCCAGCTCGTCGCCTCCATGCTCAGCCGCTTCCATCCAGTGAACCGCGACACACATCAGTCCTGGGTCACTTCTCACATCGCTCTCCTTGCCTTCGCCTCCGCTTGAAAACCCGGTGCGGCCTCCTCCGTTGCCGAGACGTCCATATTTGTCCATGACCGTCTGCTTAAACACCTCGCGAGGCTTTGAAAGAGGGAGCGTTGTCCGCTCAACGTATTCCGGGTTGGAAAGGTAGAACAACGCAAGCTCGCGCTGTGCTGTTGGGAATCCTTCCTTGGCCGTGATTGTCCACATCTTACCCGCGTCATCCAATTTGTATGTTGTGGATGGCGGTGGTGGTGTGCCTGTTGTAGATTGTGGCACGTCTGGTATCGTGTTGTCATTTGGCTTGCGCACATGCGTATGTGCTGCAACTACTTCATCTGCCATCTCAACCATTGTTCGGCATACTTCTGACTTGAGTTTGAGAGCAGCCAGTGCAGTATTCCAGAATGCTTTGCCTCGTTCCTGCTTGTCCAGCACCGAGGGTGGGACGAAAGATGCAATAAACTGCAAGTCACGGAATAGTGTCTTTGGTCGAATTGATGCTTCTCGGAAGAGAGCTTGCAGCTCTTTGGTGATGATGTCGGTGTTGACGTTTCCTCCCGACATTATTGACCTTGTCTCAGAATTGGCCTGTCGAGGACCAAAGAAAGGCGTTTGAAGTTGAGATTGAAGTGCTTGTGATCTTCGCTCTCTGACATTGTCGATTGTCCCTTCTAGAGGTGTGGGGCGAGCATTGGTGTTGTGCTCCGTCACCACGCTTGATCCAGCGTCAGATCGATTCCATCTTGGTCTCTTTTGTCCACTTGATTGCAGCGCAGCTACAATAAGGTTCTCAAGTTCATGGAGAGCATTTAGCTTCGCGTAGGGATTGGGGTGTACGCAAAACATGTTCAGCAGTCGCTGATATGCCTTCTTGAAAGGGAACTCTGATTTGTCCTTGTCTTCCTTGGCCACAGACAAGCGTGGTGTGGAGTTATTGGCGCTTGATTCCTCAGTAGAGCCCAAAGGAAGGGATTCCGAAGTTTCTGATGCTCGGTCGGAGGGTTCACCAGCACCTCGCAAGTTGCCAAAGCTCTTCTTCTTCTCAATAACTCTTGGTCGTCCCGAACTTCGTTTCTCTTTGATCTCGGATCGACGTCGAGCCCGACGGTCCAAAGCATCTTTGCGATCGATGCACTGCTGTCCCAACTGGTCGAACCAGCCATCTGTCTCAGAACCTCGAGAGAAAACTTGGTTGCCGAGGTCAGAAAGCAAGAGACTGGTAAGAGATTGTCTTAGTTCGCTGAGGAAGCGTGTCTTCTCATCATCGACCTTCTGCTGCTGGAAAACTGTCTCTTGCGATGATGCCGATGTGCCAGGGCGTCCTGTAGAGAAGCTTGCAGTTGATGGCGCAGTGCCGTGATGAGCGGGATGCGAGAATGTCGTTGAGAGGTTGGTCAAACTTGTAGTGGGAGAGTATCCTCGAGAAGCTCCTGAACTGGGAGACATGATTGGCTGGAACGGTGACCAGAAGGTGCTGGCTGAATCATTCGTGTGCGCTGGCGAAGCACGATCAAAGTACTCTTGCCCATCGAGAATATCCGAAAGCGCTGAGCTTGCCCGAGGCATGCTCTGTCGCACTGAGTCAAGTGACTGCTGGCTGGGGCTGTGGATTGACAGCGACCTGAGGTCTCGCGCAAGGGAGTTGGGCCTGCTGGATGTCGGGCTGAACTTGCGATCTTGTTCGCTGATGATGCTTCCAGAATCATCCCCATTCCAGGAAAGTTCCTTTTCTCTGGCCCTTGCCCGGTCATATCCAAGCTTGTCGCGCTTGTACAACTCACTGGACCACAAAACTGGCGCCTCTCGAATAGTCTCGCCGACTAGTCTTGATATGCACTTGTCAACCTCGTAGCAGAAGCGGTGAATTCGTTCTTCACCCCTACAGAAGTTCTCAATGCCACGGTTTTGTAGCCAGGCTGCAGTCGCCTCAGCAGGGTCATCGCTCAGCTTGTTTGGTCCTCCTTGTTCCTCCGATGCAGCAAGGAGATCCATGATCTGAGACTCGGTGCGATAAAGGTAGGATGCGCTTGGTCCTCTGGCCATATGGGCACGAGATCGCTGGAAAGAGTTCCAGCGGCGAGGCATGCCCATGGTCTTGAGTGCTTGGCAAATATCACGGCTGTGAGCATACTCTTTCGAGTTGCGCACGTCTGTCACGTACCACATCTTGTCACGCACAGCTCGTACACGCTTCATCATGCGGTCGATGATACCCTCATGACGTTCTTGACTCTGCTTGAGCCAGACGAGCCACGCATCATACTCCTCAATGGCGGAAGCAGATCTCCGAATCGAGTCTCTTGGGCCGCGAGAGAAGATGTTGATGAGGACCGCGAATCCATTCTCTCGAAGCGAGGGAGATGCGAGGGCATTGAGTTGATTGAGTGTCTTCCAATACTGGTGAGATGAGACAAAGTCGGCAAGAGCCTTGGATTGCGACGAGGCCGCCTTGAGCATTGTTATAAGAACGGCTTCTGGCTTGTCGTCCTTGGCCTCAACCTCAGGAATAGAGGCCTCTCGCTTGTCGTTCGTCTCTTTGCCAAGCTGTTTCCTGTACGGGTTGCGACTGGCCATTGACCGCTCTGTGGTGATGATCCTGGTCTTTGACTTGTATCGTTTCAGGCCAGAAGCACGGTTACTCAGCTGTGTCCTGTTCTCAGGCTCAAGGCTACGAGGGATCTCGTAGTCCTCAACAAGCTTGAGAATGGAGTCTCGAAGTTGATGGTAATCCTTGCCGAGTTCGGGTCCATCCGGAGCATCTTCCTCATCAGTGTCAGTACTGGATGAGTTTCCATCGTCATCCAGTTCATCATCAGGGTCGAACGTCATGTTTGTAGAAAGACTCTTTCCATCAGCGGAGATGAAGAGTACAAGCCATCGCTCAGCGCAAGGGTGGCATGACCCACGGACAATGTCAGAACCAAGATTCTGTGTCATTTCGTGGAGTGCCAGGCGCAGTCGATAGCCGTCATCCTCGTATTTGTTCAGACGTCTCTGCAATTCTGAATCCATAGCTGGTGGAGAGTATCGCTGAGGCGTCACTGATGTCTGCTCATCTAGATAACCGTCTCTTGTGGTAGTGTCACTAAATACCGAAGAAGCGCTGGTGCTGATGATGGAGGCAGTCTCAAAGTTGTTCCTCGGGTTTGACATGGAGATGGGCTGCGAGATAGCAGACATTCCGGAGATGGAAGCTGGTCCTGATCTAAAGCTTCCTGAAGCCGAGTGAGGTCTTCTTTCTGGGAAGATGGCATTCACCAAGGTCGCAATATCAGCAGGGCTAATTACCAGGTAAGGATGGACCTCCTTGGTTTCTCGCAGGGACGTGATGGACCTTGCTGGGAGGAGTTTGGCAGCCGGAACCTTGGATCGCGATCCTTGGAAACGAGCGAGAATACTTTCCACATGGCCTTTGATCTTGGGTGGTACGTCCACAGGAACACAGGTTGCCGAAGGCTTACCACTCCACATGCTGGAAACATACTCATGAGCCTTCATGGCTACCTTTTTAAGGATCTTCTCACGCGCGTAAGGCGTGATGTGGTACTCGGCCAGCATTCCATACGATTCTGGGTGGATAATGACGCCCAAAAGGAAGACGAAGAAGAGGCATCGCCAAACTAACCAACGGGAGGTGTTTTCGACATACTTGTTTTCGAGCTTTCTCAAAATGGCATTTCCAAGTTCCAAAAGTCCTTCAGGAATTCCAGTAGCATCTTCATCGTCGACAAGCTCAAATAGTTGGTTTACCGCGCGTTCGTAAAACTCTTTGGCTGCAACCTCATCTGAATGGTTCCAGTCGGATAAGTTGAACCGTGTCCCATGCTGATCTTCTGCTCGGTCGAGCAAGAAGGCTCCATCCTCGAGGATCTTCATCAGATACCATTCCATATTGGATTTGCCAGACCAGTCACGCATTGTTGTCCAAATGTTGAGAACTGAAATCAAGAAATGCTCGCCAGTGGATTTGGGTTCTGAAATCAGTCGTGCCAAAGCAGTAGCCCAGATTTCTGTACGTCGTTGATCCTCGGAGCTGTCAGGTCCGGCAGAATTGGCAAAACAGGTGTGGATGAGGATGGACAACGGGTCGTGTCGTTGGAAAGACAGTAGTCGTTCTATATCCACAGCAGTACTGTTTCTTCCGGACGCGCTTGCGTGAGCTCTACCTCCGGAACGGCCATGGAAAGGAAGGACAGATTCCACGGGCTCCAAACCTTTGTGATAAGACAAGAATGAGTTCAATTCTGAACTTGACAGAGAACATATACGAGTGGCCAAATAGTCCGGATTTGTACGGAGCTGTGTAAGAAAGTCCAAAAATGTATCGCGAGCAGATGCAGAAATGTCGTTCAAAAATGGTGTAATAGATTTGAGAGGACCAAGAGCTGCCGAGTTAGTAGGATTATCCAAACTTTCAGAAGATGCGAGACCGGCTGAGGCGAGACCTTCCATCTCGGGATCGAGAAGAGCATAACGACGAAGTTCATCGCAGCTGTTGCGTACATCATGTATGGCGCTGTGAAGGGCGGCAAAGTTCTCCTTGTCGTCACGACGGAAACTGTCGACCAAATTACGATGAGCTATTTCCCCGCAACGAGTCAAACGGGCGCTGAGAGCAGTGGAAACCAAGTTCCTCTGGAGACGCAGACGGGTGTTTGCACGCTTGCGCTCCTGGTATTTGGACAGTCGTACTAGATGAGCCAGCTCTTCGAGTGTTGTACTTTCAGATTCGGGGGAAAGATGTGGATTCGTGTATTGCGAAACATCTTGTAATAATGGCTTAAAAGGAGAATGCCCCTCGCTGTCATTGTCACTGGGTTTTAAAGACGAGACTCGGGGGCTGTTTCTTGGTGAAGGCTGGCCTGGCATATTCGGCTGTGCCACAATGGGCTTTCTTGAAGACATGACTGGCGAATGTTGTTGTGCATGACCCCGATGGTCCCTGTCTTCAGTTTGTCGTTGTGATATCTGCTTCGATTCGCGGGTTGGGCTAGGGCTCGGAGAGCGTCGTCGTCGAGATCGAGATGGTTGTACATGAATATCGACAGATGGAGGGGGCGACCCCGAATCTTGCGCTACAGCGGACACAGCTACCGTCAATCAGCATAAATTGAAGATAGATTTAGGCACAGCCAGCAGTTGGGTTGTTCAGACTATGCTGAGTGGCAACGTCGGAGACGTACTAGGAGCAGAATGAATGCGGACAGGTGAAGACAAAGATCGTTGCATAGAAACCATTCTGAGCTCAGAGAACTCTACGTCGCAAATGAGCAGCTATAATAGCTGTCGTGAGGCGCCGCTCACTTGCTTGTAAACAAAGGTATATGACTCGAGCAAATGCAGGCGGAAGCAAGTCGCAAGAAATATGGTTGCACGAGGATTCGAGAACGGGTGCTAGACCTGCCAGCGAAGATTGGAGCAAGTAAGGAATGACGGGGCGCGAGGTTGGAACCTGAGATGATGGATGGCGCGTTCCAAAAAGTTCTAGCGTATGAAGGACTAGGATCGTATCACGAGTTGGAGTCGCACGTCGAGTTTGGCCAAAACAATGCAAGACAGAGAGAGATACGGAGAACGGGGGAGGAGTATGTCTATTGCTGAGCAGGAGGAGAAGAGAGGAGAGAAGAGAGAAGATGTGGGAGGTGAGAGGAGGAGTTGAGGGGAGTTTTGGAGGTGGGGGAGAAGTAGGTATCGTGGGAATAGAGGGACTATGGATGATATGGTGCTTGTAATAACAGCGATGGAAGGGGCCTCACAACTGGCACCTGTCGGTTGCACCGACTGCAGCATAGACCAGACGCTGATGCAGGCAGACTCAGACAAACCAGAAACAGGAACAAACAACCTTGGACAACGAGATCGGACTGGGATAAGCACAGGATCCAATATGATGGGGTAGAAGTATCCCATCCCCGACCCTACACTACTAACGCTACCTCGCTATAACGGACGGGAACAGGCGGTGCGCTACGGTAGTGGGTACAGAGCATCGTTGGCAGATGCTATACGCTAAACCTGTTACAGTCGGGAACGTCGCGGCAATGCGGGTGAGCTTGAAAGTCAATTGGCCCAACGGCTCTTATGTGGGCCGGTACCTGAAGCCCTGTGCGATTCGCACGTGTCCATCAGCGCTGGGTGGCCTTTTTCCTTGCCCTGGTCGGTCGGGCCGGGTCATGAGTTGTGCGTTGGCAAAGCCCAAGCGCTACAAGTATGAGTTAGGTTAAACAGATATCAAGGCTGAGTTGTTTAAAAAGACTGGCGGCTCTTGGATATTGTGGATTTAGGCTGTGGACCTTGAAGAACAGAGCAGAGCAGAGGCTGTACCTTGCGCCCTGCCGTGAACACCTGCTCTTGTCCCGTAGTTATGGTTGAGAGTGGAACAGGCATCCACAGGTTGAACCAAGTCATGATCGACTATGACGGTAGGACAATCATGACTTGCAGCGTGAATGTGTGCCTGATTTACAATGTAGGAGTAAGTAATCTCGGCAGGAGAAAGTGTATCTTGTTTATTATTTGTGCAACTCGAAGTTATGAGTTGTCATGCATTCCCGTCAGCCACCAAAGGATATCAATCTATGAGGAACAAGAACACCGAACCAGGCAATTATGGCCACGAGGACAAGGGACAATGAGAAGAAGAAATTTAAAATGAATGATAGTAAAAACAAAACAAAACAAAACAAAACAAAGAAGCACCTGCATGTCTCCGTGTTCGGATTGAGTTTATTATCGGGTAATTTTACACCTGTATTGTAAGTTACAAGGGTCTAAACTATTGCCTCGTCCACTTATACAACTCACGATACTCATCAATGAAACCAGAACTCGAACCGTCGAATAACATGTGATGAAAGATAACAAGCTGTTCTTTTCAAACAATACTTCCCCTCTAACAATTGCTATCATCTTCCTACCAGACCTTCAACATCACACAATGTACCCAAACCCCCCTCCCCCCATCCACATCAGCAACCAATCTAATCGCACCACGCCAGTTCCCTCTATGCGAGGCAAAGACAACAGTTGCTGCAACTCTACAAGCAGCAGCTGGGTTGTGTGTGCCAACGCATCCCCCCCCCAAGACCACCAAGACACCAATCATGCGCTGGCCTCCACATGCATCCTCTTCCAATCACTGATTGCCAGACGAGTTCTGCGCTGAGAGCTCACCGAGAAGCCCTAGCCATTCATATTTGTTAGACAGACCGACTCGTCGACTCTCTAGCCAGTTATGCAGCCGTATTCGGTATATTATCGACTATTCTCAGCTGCCTCCGGCTCTAACTCGCCACTTTAGTCTAATGCAACTATCCTTATTCGTCTGAATATCCAGTGAACGACATTTGTGCTACCTACTCGACTCGAAATGTAATTTGTACTGGCGGTGCGCTGGCCATGCTGCTCCACCATCAAAACTCCACCGCCTCCCAACAGTTCACGACAACTTCATCCGTGTCTAGCTCCCGCCTTTTCCCCAGTCTCTATGTCCTCATTCAGCCGAGGATGTCTTTCCTTTCATGCACGTCAGCGCGTGACTATCCCAACAGCGGTTGACAGGTTGCCATGGTGTGTTGTCATTACTCATGTACAGTCATCAACACCCATCAACGTAGCTGTCAATCCAGCTCACTACTGAGGCTCTTCACCTAGGTCATACCCTACAGCCACATGGCGTTTTTGACACCGTTCTTTTCTAGCTCAATCGGTGCACTCATCCCATCTACTTCGTCTACTTCTCCGACTGGTCAAATCATACAAGCTCACCCTAGTTGCACAAGCTCTTCTAGAACCCTGCCACGCATCCGTTATCGAATGCATCACCGGGACATGTCTTACATCCAAAGCATTAATCTTAATAGACGCATAAATTCATAGATGCATAGACAAGTGAAGCCTACATCTTAGCCAATAAAGGGTATAATATCAACGCTCCAACCAAAACCAAACCAGTGCCATATTAGGCATGCTGCGACTCTGTCATATGAGCTGTATGCTCGCTTAACCACCTTTTTGTCATGTACTCAATACCTTTCATCCATCCAGTTTAACGGCCTGGGATCCCATTAAATTCCCCTCCCAAACCGAATATCAAAATCCTTCAGGACACTCATTATACTTGCTGCTTCAACCTCAATCGGCATCATCGCACCAGGCGGTGCTGGCCGAGTACCAGGTCTAGGTGTAGCCTTGAGCTTGGGCAACCAAGAACCAATATCATCAGCCGCCTTGGAAAAGTTGCGATGACTGGATAGTGTTTGGTATGCCTCAGCACAACTCAGACCCAGGCTTGGTAGACTTGGGAGGTTGATCTTCTCTGGTTGCTGTGGCTTCTGGGACTTACAGCAGCCGCCACCAGCACCCTTGCCACCACAGCAGCCACCAGAGCTACCGTCCTTACGGTTCAAGTTGGCTGCCATCAGGCGACAGAAGAGTCCTGACTTGGGATCGGCTTGACACTGAGCACAGGTACCAGGGCCGTTGGGACCACAGCCGCGACGCTCAGTAGGTTGAGGATGTGTGCGGCGAGGAGGAAGCTTGACAGCACCGTCGGCCGTCATCTCCATAGCGAGAATAGGAGGATCAGTATCTTCAGGAGGTGGGGTCTGAACCTGCTGAGAGATGGGAGGTAGGGTATCATTTGGGGTCATGGCGGGAGTTGCGAGGGCAGTATCAGCGCAGACGCAGTAGGTTCCGTCCTTACAGAAACCGCAGCCATCTCTGAATGGCATAGAGTCCATGGAAGGGAGTTGAGAAGGAGCAGAGAAAGTCTCTTGGGTCTTGCGGGAGAACATGGCTGTGAAATCAGTCTCAGCGTCGGTATTAGACCGATGCCTCTTCTCAGTAGATACATCAGCCGACGGTGAGGCAGGACGCTTCAACTCTTGAGATCGATCAAGAGCCTCAGCTACTTCGTCGAGACATTGACAATTTGATGTGAGAGTGCACTTGCCGCAGCCGTTACCCGCGGACTTCAATACCTCTTCGGCACAAGCACAAGGTCCGTTCGGAGAACAGTTGCCACAAGTTATGGCTGTCTCAGTATCATTGGACGTGCTCATGTCGAGGGTTTCTGGGGGAGAGATAATTTGGGAGATGGAAAAGGAGTGGCCGGATTGACGATCAGGTCTGGCATCAGGAAGGCTGTGTCTTGGTGCCTGACTGGTAGGACTGTGAAGTCCTTCAAACGGGTGCTGAGAACTCATGCTTCGGGATTGAAAATTTGAGTTAAAGACACCTTCATCTAGTCGACGTTTGAGAGTCTCGGCTTCTGTCTCGACTCTGATACGGTCCTGTCTCTCCCGCTCCAGCATGTTTTCAAGTAACATGCATCTAGATCGGAAGGACTGAACATCAAGTTCAAGTTCGTGAATCTTGTCCTTGAGTTCTGATTCATGTTTCTCTTGGACCTCACGTTGCTGATCAAGTTGTTCCTCGAGCTCTCCAACACGAGCAGCCCTCCTCTCTCGAAAGGCCCTCTGAGCTGCGCGGTTTTGAGCCTTGCGCTTGGTGGGTGGTGTATCGGTAGCGGGCTTCCTGCCAGGCTTGGGCCTTGGAGGGATCACCCATTCTTTAGAAGTCATAGACACCTTTGGAGGCTCCGGCGGAGCCGGCTGGGGGCTGATTACGGACGACATGGCCATCTTGTTGATGGAAGGAAGAGCAGTGCGCTGCTGAGGTTGTGTGGGTGGAGGTGGCTTCGCACTCGGCTTAATGGAGAGTGGCGTCCTGTGGCTGTGGGGACCGGGTGTGGCTGGTGAGGCAGCAGGACTTGGTGCAGCTGAGATGGCACGATGCCTGGTTCCTGACTGCGAAGCGACAGGTGTTCCAGCTCCAGGGGATGCAATGGACTGAGGTGATGAAGCCGACATGGTGAGAGTCGACGAGTAATAGATGCTGTGGTTGTGGCGAGATCGGTTCTCTTTTCGGTCGGTCGAGCCAAATCGGGTCGGAATTCCGAGAGGTAAATCTTGAAAGAATTGCCAAATGAAGATTGTCAAATAGAAATCGCAATAATTGAATTGTTATTGTTATGGTTCAATCCGAGCTCTTCGTGGACGTCAACGGTGGTTTGGATTGACAGTCGATGCTGCAGATTGATAAGATTGATTGGAACCGTAGCTGACGCAGCTGCGATGTGACAGCTCGGTGCGATCTCGGCTTTAGCCTCGGTTGATTGATAACAGCTGAGAGCCAGATTGTCAGATTGATAAGGTGATGAACCCATCCGAGTACAGAAGCCGGAGGATTTGTAAAGGATCATCAATCAATCAAAACCGAGTTGGAGATGGGAGAAATGGTAACAGAGAAGGAAATTAATCGCGGGGTGCCTCGTTACTTTTGTGACCCGACCACAACCGACGGTTGGGAAGCCAATGGTCCGATTCCAGGAGACGATAGTGGATCAGATCAGATTGATAAGATTTGATTGATAAAAGTTTTGCGGACGTCACACGCCAGGCACGAACCATATACGCCAGGCATACAAATACAACCACCCAGATGAAGTTTCATCAGATTACGACCGAATTGAACAGCAACTTTTCTCGTAATTTGATTGCCGACCAGGCATTTTTCAGGCATCCAGTCTCAGCGATGGATCTAATCAGTCATAACTTTTGGTGGCTCCGCAACACCTTGACCACCCGAACGTCCCCAATCGTGAGACCCTTAGAGCAAGTTATTAAAACTCAATTATTGACGCGACAGTAAGAATTCGGCATTTTATCAGCAGTAGCTCGCCGATCTTGCTGGTAATCTTCCGCGGCAGTTCGAATCACGTTGCAGAACGTTCGCATTCTCGTCATAATGTAACGAAAGGTAACATCATCACTGAAGATCTCCAATAGATGTTCTTTATTGAATGGATTCCTCCACCAAAGCCCCTCCAAAGCATTGACACTCACCTTCTCAATTCGTCCGAGGCTCGGGGCTCACCTGGACTTGGCCGGCATAAGTCGGAGTTGCACGAGCGAATCCGTGATCACACAGCCATCAGATAAGATCCTTTCAGGATGCATAACTTTAGTGCCGATCACAGGGTCTTCTACTCCGACTTCGCTGTGCAATGGCTTCAACTCTCAGCCCTCTCTTTATACAGGGCCGGAATTCCCATGAAATGTGCGGCAAACTGTTGGGAAACCGGCCCGATCACGTGGGTGAAGTCATTATATCCGGACTTGAACAGCCGATCATAGGACCTTAATTCAACTTGCATCTTCCTTCCATCCATGGGCTGGTGGTTCGTGCGACTTGATGTTGGGGCAGGCTGCCGAGATTGGGACCAGATGATGTGACATTGAACTGTAGCAGGGGTTCATTGGCTGCCTGAAACAGCACGGAATCTTTAACATCGGACATGGCCGATTTGTAGATACTCATTATTCCATGATACCAACCAGCTCGGAACCTTTGTCTTCAAAGGAGTATTGACTGAATCCAACTTTCGATCTTCTACATGTCCAAGTCAGTCATCCTTTAGCCTGGTCTTATCCTCGGTAACATATTCTTAGGATCAGTTCTTCAAACGTAATGCAATCCGCTTCCTCTGGCTTTGTCTTTAGCCCCATCCACTTGATTCTGTCATGGTATTCAGCGCTTGATCTCCACGGGGCTAAACCTTTTGTCAGGTTGCACGGGGCAAGTCTAGAACCAACATCTCGATGACGGCCAATGGGAAAGGTCTCCTCACACGGAACTTGGAGTTCCAGATAAGGTGATCTTGGCGGTCAGTATTCTTGACGGGAGTAGATAGCTTACATCCAGGGCTTTGATTATAAAAATAAAACTTAATTTTATATTATTAAAAATAGATTTTTTTTTAGGATTTTTTATTACAACATCTGCTAATTTTAATATAAATAGATATTCTCTTATTTTTAATTAGAATATCTATCTTAATATAAATTAAGTCTTGAAAGATAACACTTACTTAACAGACAATGTTGTATATACTCCTCGAGTGCGCACCAAAAGAGATTGTGGATTATCATCAATTTAAATTAGCACCTCCTCACTGATCTCGGAATTGTTGTAAATGAATTCGTATTGAGAGTGGTCAATACAGAGTGTCCATAGATAAGATCACAATATCCAATCAAGGCTAGCGCCGCCGAACCTCACCATCAGAAGCTCCTCCACCAAATCCATGCCACCTCACCTTTAGCCTACGCCGAGACACTTACAGACAACCACACGGTATACAACCACCCGCAATGGCCGCTGCGCCAGATAATCTCTCATCCTCCATGGCGGGCCTTGGAGTATCCGCTCCATTTACACTCTCCGGCTCCGACACTTCCTCTGTTGACGAAGATGCTCCTCTACCGTTTCCCGAAGCTCTCCCTCGCGCCGACTTCTTAGCTCAAGACTTCCAACCTGCTGCCTATCTATCTGCTTTACCACATCGTCACCAAACTCTCGAGGACCTACGATCAGATCTTCGCGACAGAAGTGCCGCGATCAGCTCTGAACTTCTCGAACTTGTCAATTCGAACTACACGGCCTTTCTTTCACTCGGCAGCGAACTGCGCGGCGGCGATGACAAGGTAGAAGACGTCAAGGTTTCTCTACTTGGTTTCCGACGAGCCGTTGAGGAAGTCAAGACAAAAGTTACGGAGCGAAAAGAGGAGACAAATGCCCTCAATGGAGAGCTACGTGGTGTACGATCAGCTATCGAGAAGGGCCGCAAAATGATTGAGTTATCTGAGCGTCTCGCATCACTAGAAGAACGTCTCTCCCTGGATAGTTTACCGAGCAACGAGGACTGGGACGAAGAAAGCGAGGAGGACGACGAGGACGACAACTACGGAAGCTCCCCAACAAGGCTGCTCGTTTCAGCACAAGAATGCAGCCGCATCACAAAGCTACTCGAGTCTTCAGACCCAGATGCCCCGTTTGTGATCAAGATGGAGGAACGTTTGACACGGTGTAGAAACACACTACTCTTGGACTTGGGCAATGCTCTAAAAGAAGCAAAGAAGGCCGGTATAAAAGGACAGGATAGAGTGCTGAAATGTTTGGCGATATATAGAGTGTTAGATGCACAATCAGAGGCCGTCAAGGCCCTCAAAGGCAGTTCATAGCCACAATGAATAATGATACCCACGACGCTCACAAGGTCTATTCGTAATATGACATATGATACAATTATACAAGCTCAAGGCTATTTTTACATGATGCTCGACAATGCCTCAGGGGTAATCTGCTCCTCTGCATCCTTCAACTTTCCATTCAAGCTTATGCCAGGTCCATGGGTTGTGCTGAGAATAACCTCGTGGACCTCCTTGTGCACCTCCTCTGAAATCTCCGCACACTCCGCCTTGACCTTGTTCAGCAACACCTTGATGTTGTTCTTGAGCTGATCAGGCGAGTAACCCAATTGTCCAATAGCAAGACGAATAACACCCTGTCTCTCACGGTAATCGGCCGCACCAGCAGAGTCTCGCATCGACTTGACGACATCGGGGACAATAGTTCGCATACGCTTGCTGGGCATAAGACCCTTGGGACCGAGGATCTTTCCTAGACCGGCTTTGTTCAGAGCGCCTTCGCTGGCCTCGTGGCAGATAAGACGGTCGAAGTTGATCTGTTCCTTTTTGATGGCTTCGAAGAGGGTTTCTTGACCGACGGCTACAGCACCTGCGGCGGTGGCTTGTTGGGCGATCTCGCTGCCTTCGGGGCAGATGACGGCAATTTGCCAATCGCTCTGGACGGGGTGGGGAAGTCGAACGCTGTTCTTGATGACGGGGCCATTACGGGCAGTCTTGAGGTTGATGTGAATTTCGTACTTGACCGAAGCAGGCGGTTGTCCAACCTCGACGGCTCGCAGGACTCTATAGAATATTAGTCTCCCCCGCTTGTTGCCATGTTCCCAATTCCACTGACCTCATAGCCTCACATAATGAGTATTGAGGAAATTCCCTCTTCGCCAAGTTATGTCTCTTAAAGTCCTTAGGCAAAGCCTTCTTCTTCTTTGTCTTCTTGATTCTCACAACCGAAGCCTGTCGAACTTGTTGAGCAGCCGCTGGGGCGAGGAACTTCGGTATCGTAGGAATTGTCGGTCGAGGAGTCTGGAGGAGGGATAGCCTGGCCATAGAGGCCAAGCAGCGGTCGATCGGCGCCATTGTGAGGGGGTAATTGAGAGCTCTGGCGGACCGGCCCTTGATCGTGATATTCAGATGGCGCAAAAAGTCGAGGTTGCTAAAGTGTTTTAGGTGGGCCTGGAATGTCAGGTGTCAACGCTTATCGATAAGCCCCAAGACAATGGGATGTGAACTTGGGAATGGAATCACTTTTGTTTCGTCAAAGAATTATTTGAGATATTGAGTTTATTCTGCTAATATAGTCTATATACATACAAATCTACCCAGATAACTCGCTATCTAATCAACACAGACAAGAATGTCCTTCAACTTGCCCAACACAACCTTCTGTCGCGTAGCATCAGCAGTCGTCTTATCAGCAGCATCACCAACACTAATAGAAGCATAACATCCATCCTTAAGAGCAATCTCAGTCTCAGTAGGGAGACGATCCTCACCACACCACTCAGTATCACGCTCAGACAGAAGACCAGTGTTGATGCGAGTCAACACCCACTGGAATTTGGACGCATCAGTGCATTTACCCTCAACCTTGCCAAAATTGACGTTGAGATAGACGTCCTTAGGCAGGTAAGGCTTTCCAGAGTCGACGATCTTCTTTACAAGAGTGGTCGCGAGTTCAGCGTAGACTAGACTACGCTTGGGGACGGGGCTGGTGTTGAAGGCTGTATTTCCGGTTGAAGCTCCAGAGAAAGCAATGGCTGGGATGCCAACATCGTGAGCGGCATAGCAAGCTGCGCCTACGGTGCCAGAGAAAGGAACTTGAAGCCAGAGGTTTGTTCCGACATTGGGACCAGCGACAGCAAGCTCAGGAGCAGCGCCATCCCACAAGCTAGGACCAAAAGTGTCGATACCGTACTTCATTGAAGTGACAGGGAACGAGTTGACCCAGTTAAGATCAGGACGCTTGGGATCATGACCAACAGGGCCGCTGTTGGCGGGACAGCTGTCGTACTGACAAGCTGTGGTGCGGTCCTTGGGCTTCTCATCCCTAGAGCCTGATGATGTTAGATGTGATTGAAACGCGTGTTTATGTGACTTACTGCTGCCAGACTTGTTCTCTGCAGGAGCCGAGAGAACAACATCGTAACCCGCGCTGTTCAAAGCGTCATTGAAAGTGCGGATATAAGACTCTGCCCAGCCGTCATCATTAGACTGAACGATTCTCACGGCCTGAACCGCAAGAGGCAGAATAGCGACAGAAACGAAGGACTTCATGATGACTGAGTTGAACGAAAGAAGGTGGGAAACAACAACAACGCGAGTTTCATACAAGGAGTTTCGAAACTATATATCCCCTTTCGCATAATCCATCCCAATATCTGATTCCTCTAATCATCCACTCCGTCCAATACCACCCTCGTGAGCTCTTAGTGCACCCTAGTCCCAAGCCACCAATCAGCATGCTTATCATCCTCCTCACCAGGTTCGCATCAAAGTTTGAAACCCCCAGGTCACCAGCATCGACCACCCACGTGCCGATCACCAGAGCTAATCAGCGACAGCCCAAGACAGTTTCGACGTTTATCATTTCCACGTTCACAGCTCAGTGGTGGATGGCCCCTGGGACGATGTGACTTGTATGCAGGTTCAAGAGCGCGTTTATTCATTTTGAGGTAACGGCCCGAGCCGTTCGATAAGTTTTTGAGTTTTAGAGGAGGATTCGGTGACTGTTTTGAGGGTTGGTCCGGGGTGGAATCGCGAACTGCCGTAATCGGGTCAAGAGCCGGCGCTGGTTCGGGCGGAAGTGGAGAAAGCTCCGGGCTCGCTACCGGAGTGCAACTGAGTTGAACATGAGAACGACGATCATCGAGAACTGCACTTGCATGTGATATTCAAGAGTATTCGACGCGAATGAAGACTCAGGATAGTAGAAAACTTAGGATTTCGATCCTAAGGAATACAAAGACTTGGATAAGTTAACGATACTTAGGATAAACTTGGTAGACTCTTTGGTCAGTGTCTTTTTTCCGCCTCCCAGTAGCAAGCGGGAGTCTTGGATCTGTTGACACCCTGAAGGAGGGTATATTTTTCATCACTATAGGTGACGCTGTGGTACTGATGAGAGAATGTAAAAGCTCTAGTATCTTGGTGGAAACGGTCCGGATCGTACCCTACGGCTTTCAATCATGGATGACAGCGTCTATCATCAAGGCACTGTCATCGGTATCCAGATATGGCCAACTTTGCAATTGACTTCCACCACATATGCGTTTCGATCATATCGAGCTCCTTGTTGAACTCGGGCTCCTACTTGTTGGCTCAGGTGACAATTCCTTCTATAAGATGCCATTGATTCCCGCCACCTTCTCCTCGATGAGTGTCATATATGACTGGTCTCCAGTGCATCATTCATATGCAGACAGTGCATCTTGAATAGACGCCGAAAGCAGACAGGAGGTGGCGATGAGCAAAGCTGAGTTTGTAATTCTCCATAGCTTGGCCTGGAGTGCTGTAGGGAGCCTTGGTAATGCGGCAACGGTGACGGCCGCATTGCTTGACCGAAATTCTCGAGGTTATCGACGTTGCAATATAGTATTTAAAAAATATAAAAAGGCCCTTGACATAACTATCTAACAACAGAAACCACTTGGACATGCTGAAAAGCTGCGTCCATCAGCCTCTGAGGTTCGGACTGCAGTCCATACTGTTGTAACAGGAATGAATAAAAAAATGCGCTGAAGATGAAAGGAAGAAGGATTTTATGAAGAGGGAGAAGAGGCGGTATTTGTAGTGATGGGGCCGCACATTGTTTGGCACTGGCGAGCCTACGCCTTAGCAAACGGCAGTGAATCACACCTAACACCACAAAACAGACTCCAGCATAAGGATCGCACCTGTTTGCATACATCTCTTCTTTATATCTCCGCCATCTCTAGCACCCTAGAGATGACTGAGTACTCGCCAAACGACTTGGCGGATGTGCGCCGGCACCTCTTGCAACTCGTATCTCGTCCGCTTCCTCCATTTCCCGGACCGGAACCAGATATAGAACAAAGGCGTACCTATGTTGAAGCCTTCCTCTCCCAATGTTTTCCCAGAGAAAACACCGAAGACGCCAGAAAGCTTTTGTGCAAGGATGCCACAATCATCGCAGCAAAACCTCTCATTCAGGGACGGATAACAATAAGCACTGTCGCACGCTTTGCATGGGAGGTCAACAAGGTCTTTTGGGATCTTTGGTGTGAGTACCGCCCATATCATCATTATTTTCATCATTGGCTGATCAAAGTATGCTTCCAGTCCTTGGATTGCCCCAACAATCGAAGCCTGCTTGGCCATGGCCACGACCCCTAGTGCCCAAGTATGCAGAGACGCTTTCGACAGTGTTTGCCAAGCTCAAACAGGATCATGATCGAGACGGTGGTCTGGACATCAATAGGATGTCTATACCTGAGGAAGGAGAATACCCAGAGGCACGATCTCCAAACGAGTCCCCATCAATCCAAGTCCTGGAGTGCAATGGCATGCATTACCCTCTGCCTGTCCCAACCCCAAAGGTTCATGGCCGAAGAAACGCTTGGGAGGCATTGTACCAGGAGTGACCCCTCCTGAGCGAGAGCGACCCTTCACACTGGTTCTACCAACAGAATTCGACTTCTGGACATTCGTCTGGGGCCCCGATGGCCGTGACTTCAACAAGATCCGAGAGCGTCTCATGGAGGAGCGTATCGAGGTTACCTGGAGATATGAGGGAATGGTGCATGGCAGCGAGGTAGTTTTCGAGTATCCCATTGATACTGGGAAACTACCCGAAGCGGCCCATGCTCTTGTAGTTGGGCCTGTCAATCCTCGAGGTGTGGATGGCAGTGAACTCCATTACAATTATGAGCCGATCAGCTTGGAAGGCATCAGCAGACTCTGGGCCGATATCAGAACCTAGTATCCTGACTGCACCATGGATCGATTGACTAAACTGCGGAGCTACCTGGAAAACATGGCGGAAGCCCAAAAGGCACGAGGAATTCAGACGATCCCACCCCTACCAGAGGATTTCAAGGAAGTACAGGCCCAAAACAAAGAAGAACGAAAAGCTTGCGGGGATGCGATCACTGCGGTTCTCGACAACAACTACAGCAACTACAATCCGATGGATGCTTGTTTTGCCCTCAGGGACTAGGTCATCTCTCGCAAGGAGGGCACCTGTCTTGATGTGCCTGAGCGTATCAACCTGGCTGCTGACCTCTGGCGGGAACGCGCTGAAACTCCTGAGATGAGGTTGAGGTTTCGGGATGGATCTTTAATATGAAGAAGCGATTCCAGCACGACCTCTTGCGCGACTCCATGCGTCTGGGGAAGTAATTTGATGAGACAGGTATGGTGTCTCCCGAGCAGGAGATCGGTATCGGATCAATGGATTGTAGGAATTTGTAGGCATCGCCAAAAGATAAGTTTACGGTTATTCTACAGAAAGAATACACATAAAATCGCGTGGTCATAAACAAGGCATATCATTTCTCGAAAGCAATCAGGTTTTGAAGGAAAGCAACCCACCTTTTCGTCAAGCTGATATAGCATAGAAACTCAAGGAACTTTCTCTGTTTTTTCTTCTTAACAGTGTAATTTTAACCTATTCCTGGAGCGAAGGCGTAGAGTCTGTCGTTACTCATGAAGCTATGTGTGATACTGACCTCAGGGACTCTTTTTGCCACCGATACTGCCGAATATTTCACACGGCATTTAATGGCTGAGAATGTCTGATCTAATACTTTTGTCTTAATGATCTTTCCTCGATGAATGTCCAAGTTCATCAAGGGTTCCGTCAGAAATGAGACTCCCATCCCTCCTGTCTATTGCGAGCTGCCCAGCACCACCATCCCCGATGGGGAATGCCCACAGGTTGGTTGGTGCTATCGTTGGGCTCAAAGAGTTTTGCTTTGCATCTGATGAAGGACTGTTTGCTATGCTCATGAGCGTTTGACCCCTTCGATGGTTTGTGAATATGTACTTATTCTTGACAGAATCAGCCCCCGTGGTCTAGCGCAAAACATGAATAGAACATTTACTGCTTTTCAACCTCTTAAATCAACTAGAGTAGTGTATAAGATTATGATTTGATTATACTGGTTCGTGTGTCCGAGTAGGATAGCTCTGATCGCGCGTGAAAATGGTAAGAAACTTGTAGTGGAGATCAAGCTGCATTTGATGCGCTGTCCGTGTGGCTGAAATACCAGTGCAAGCATGGTACTTTCCATTTATTTTATTACAAACAATACTGGAAAGGATTGAAATAAGGATTGCGATAATGCCTGCCGAAGGGCGACTAAATGATGTTGATTGCTCACTACCCGTGCATGGCGTTTGCTTTCTTTGTTTCATCCATGCAGCTATCCGAACATCATTTCAGCATTCTTGCCCCTTGACGCCCCCTTCTACTTTCATCATTGTCTTCTGATTTTTTCCTGAGTAGAAAATAAGTAAATTTGTTGAACTTATCGTCTTTTTATTGTCAGTTCAGCCCAAGATGGGTGACCCTTGGAGAGACATCTTTCGTGACATGGCGGGATGGGTCCTTGAAGACCACCCCTTCATGTTTGCTCATATACAAGGCCAACCAGCAACCGCAAAGGCAATCAAAGTTCCTCTACTTCTACTGGATACTCTGGTGGGACTGGAATCAAATATGGAAGTCATACATATCACGAATGCAACAAAGAAGGATCAAGTCCACAAGGAACGAGAGAAGCTGAGGACAGACATGCGTCTCACCACACAAAGCACAAAGAGTATCAAGATAATGGACTACGTCGAAGCAACAAATATTCTAAGACTTGCTCGTCGGGAGAATAGCTGGTACCTTCTTGATATTGGTAACAACGCTTGTACTGTTATTATCATTGAGGCAGACCCCGACTACTCTGCCGAGTACGCACTCGCTCTGACAACGTGGACTATCATGGTCAAGGGACGCAGTACATTTAATAAACATATGCGCCTAATGACGATGTCGTGGGAAGGTATTCACGAGATGACCAAAGACATCTGGAACGATTGGCCCGTAGCCAGGGAACCCCTACGAGAATTCGTTCTACCATGGATCCAGCGGGATGGTGGACGAGTCATTTCAGACTCAAAGAAGAAACTCGGAATATCAGCAATGAAGAATTGGGTAGACAGAGTCGCCCCTGATGGCACCCACACCTGTGTCAGCTTCCAAAGGCCGGGAGGACTTGATGATTCCTGGGATGACTGTCACCAAGATCGCCAGCAGGGGCTGGAGTTCGCAATTAAATCTCGACGCATCCATTTCATCAGCCCTGATTTCAAAACTGCGGAAAAGATCCCCGACGCAGGCAGACCTCACGTCATCACGAGTAACACCCGTCGTCGACTGATTTTCGACCTCGAGACAAGACAGCCCGTCACCGTCACTATACAATGCTCAAACTCCGAGGAGAAGCAACAAATGAGCTGGGTGCATCGATTCAGCGGACAAAGCTCAAATATATATACACAGGAAGGATTCTCTTATGACGGCGGACATCATCGACGTATGAGAGTTCAAGATGAACAACTTGGGGGCTTTGTAGCTGCCTTGAGTGAATTCGATAAATGGCCTATCGGTATGGCCAAGACTGTACGTCTTTTCGACAACAGAGGAGAAGAATATCAAGTTGCTACCGACATTGGGCAACGAATCACTACACAAGGAATCATTAAACATGACGCCAAGTCAACCATAACTTGGTCACTGGCTCTTCCAGAGGAAACTCACAAGGCTTTCTATGCTGTTCTACCTCTTGTTGAGTACGATCATCGTCTCGCGCTATTTCTTAGCATAAAGTCGAAACATGCCATGGTTAATACAGCCAAAGCTCAAATGACAGCGATAATCTCGGGGAGTATCACGAACTGTTTTGACTTTGTTGGTAAAACACCTCCTGATGTCGATGAAATCGGGGACGCAGCCCGAATTGGTCTCTTTAAGCGTTTCGCACATACTGGTACTGTCATGAAGGGTCTTGGATTCATAAAGACTGCGATAATCGCATCACGCTTTTCCATGATCTTGCCGGAGATTCACATCGCTGATCAGCAGATTCATGTCAACATGAATGAAGTAAAGCATGTCATGGAACGATGCAGGATATTACTCGATGTTCTCAACACTTGCGATTACAACGTTGATGAAACTTTGCCTTTTACCCAGGAAGAAGAGAAGGCTCTTGAATTCGATCATCTCATGGAGGTTTGGTCACATCTCCTGAGAGCGTATACGTACCAAATCGCCCTTGTCACAATCAACAGGCACGGCGATATGTTCATTATTGATCTTGTTTCTCAAACTCGCCTCGAAGCAAGTTTCGAAGTGCGGAATAGTCTCGAATGGTGGGCTCTCCCAAAGAACAAGAACGACTACGTTGTGGGTATTTACACTAGAGCTAGTCGTGAGCGAGGGAGGACTACGATTCAAGACTGGAATTGGATCCCGCCGCAGGTTTGGGATCGCTGGGACGCTGAATTACCAAGGGGCGTTAAAGGGCTGCGAACCAAGTTCAAGTTGACTGAGAATCATGATGAGGTTGTCGATGATACTTGAGTGGTGAATTGCTTTTGAGAAGTATCAAGAAAAGGGGGCGCCTCACGCAAGTCATGTAATAGCGTTATTACCATGGTTCATTGTATTTGACTGTCTATGAGTACTATGCATGATAATTGAAAAGCCCAGTTCTCAGTGCAACTGATGAGTTTATTTCCCTTTGCTGTGTTTAACTTTCAAGATTGGTGACGGTTCATTTCATGGAGACATATATTCCTCATGACAACCATCTCTGTTCAGTCCGCAGATTTAGCTTTGCAAACGCAGATATACAATATTATTGTCCTTATTTCTAGTCTGCTATCAGCGGTGCAGATGTTTACTTTCATCGCGAGTAACATTAAGTTCATTCAGCCTTGATGATGCACAATATGCCATGACCCCAGTCTGCAATGGCCTGAAGACAAGCTTTTGAGTTGACGAGATTTTCGCCATCAGATGTCCCCCGAAAGGGTTGAGCGAAGGGACCCCAAAGCCGATAGCGACCAGAAGACGGCATAATGATGATCACGAGAAACTCGGCATGACGCCAAACTCACACCTGATTACCAGCCTGGGGGAAAGGTGTCGCTGGCCATCGAGATGACACCCTTTGCTAACAAGTCGTCAATAGCTACGTCCGGATCGACGCCGTGTATTGAATACATACACAACTACACACAAACAACTTCGCGGTACAACAGATCTCAAGGTCTCACCGCGTACATTGGCAGCGTGGGGCACGATGCCTCGCATGTAACGGCTATGGTGAGGGCGGTGGCAACCAAGGCCAGTCTCCGTGACCGCATTTCCACTACCAGTTCGTGTCTCCTGATAGACGACAGGAATCCCTCACGATGGTGTCTCCTCCAGTTGTCGAATAGCCTCTTTTCGGTGTCGAAGTTGCTGTTAGCTTTGTGCTTCCTGCTACATATATTGCCAGCATCTTCACAGCGCCATTGCTGGTGACGATCTAAATTTCTTCGGCCAATGAATCTGAGTAGGTACTTTCTCGACATCTGAGAATGGATTTGTCTTGCCAAGATCGTGAGGTTCTTGGGCGATCAGGGTGATGCTTGGGCCACAAATGAGAATTTGTAAATAATGTTGCAATCAACTAGAGAGGGAGATAATCACAAACTCATATAGTTCTGAAGTCATTCACAGGATCGCCGGGATACTGGTTCAGGTATACTTCGACATATCCCACATGATGTACGGAGTGCTAACGCCTCAGCTAAGAGGTCCCGGGTCTCCATTAGCAACGCCCAGGTGCAATGCAGATAGCAACATGCCCTAGCCGATGCATTCGTAGCGCAAAGTTATTGATGAATCGTTTCTTCATCTTGTTCTTTAGGCGTAGAGCTTTCTGCACATAAGTCGAATAGCACGCCTCATCATCCTGATCCCCTTGAAACTCGATGAATTGGTACGATTAGTATCTATCAAGAGGAAAATAGAGAAAGTCAATTACCTGTTTTAATGGATACCATGTACGATGATATCGCTGAGAGATTGGTTGACTGGTACGCTCGGCGATCGCGTAGTCTTTTGTTCTATCGTCCTCCGCATCGACTGAAGCCGTCACCATTTTTAGCTCATTGTCCCGGCTTACGATAATTTCGATATGTTTTGACGAGAACCTCGGGATATAATTAGCATAAGATGGCAGATTGTCATACGATACACTCACGCAGTTCCAAAGTTGATACCAATCACTATGGCATCCCTGAGGCGTTGTGGGCAGCCTCAGGAGGCAATATTTGCTTCAAGGAGTAGAAAGTTAAACAACCTCAGTCGCTGGCCGTTAGAAGCCATAGCATGTGCCATTTGAGATTTTGACTATTCTCGTCGCAACAAACTTGAGTGATCGGGGATGCATCGTCGCTAATAGCGTCATTGACAACACTGTTACTCGGATCTCATCACCACTTGGTGCAGGATTGACCCGATAACCCCTGACTGCCTGTTTATATGCATGACTGAGTGTGACAATGTGTAATCGACATCTTGACTAAGGTAGTTCGTCTACCCTGGAAAATGTCTTGCTTGACATGATGATTCAAGCTCATCTAATCGGAGATTTGATCCTAATCCACAGTCAACGACACAACGCACATAATAAGAGGCGCCATCAGGATAAAATGTTCCCAGAGTAGATTGCCTATCCATGAACTATTACCCTTGGCATAGGAGTTGAAAGAAAAGCCTGAATCAGGGCTGTTCTACAGACCTACGCCAGTCCAGAGGGGAACTACAGATACAAGCAATCAAGCAGCTTGGAATAATGACCGTTATCTTTGTGCTTATACAAGATCTTAATATGTAAAGATTTATAAATTTCTTTTTAAGTATCTATAAATTAATAAATACCTACTTTATTTCTTTTTAGTTTAAGCCAGTGCTGGCATATACATAATAGTAGACATCACTTTAACATTGGGAATCAATGGATTGGAGAGCCAGGCTTATTCTCTAAATACTAATTAACTCTCCTTCGTATTCCTCTTTCTGCTCTCAGTTCATCTTCGTCCTCATTAACCATGCCCATGTCTATCCCTTACCCGAGTTGCCTGTGAACATTCAACAGCGATAACGTGTTCAACCTAACAGCGCCAAAGATCATCTCTTCAAGACATATTGTGATCTGCCTTTGGTTTGGTACTCCTTAATGTCTCGTACTCTTGTCGCATCCACCATCGTCTTCATGGCTCGCGAGTGCTGTCAAGCTTGGTGGGAATCTGCTGGCTTAGGAGTTAGTTATACGTTGCTCGGTCGAGGTTGGGTGAACTTACTGTTGCCTCCGACTGCCTTTCCTCTGGGGTCATTAGACCTGGCTCTTTCTGAGCATCTGGCTTTCAGTTCCAAAGACGCTGCCCCTGAGTCGTCTTCGACTTCTTGCCTCTTCCGGCGCTGATGTCTCCACCATAGTAGACTTTGGTGTTTGCCCATAATGAAGTGCGGGGGTCAACGCCACCCAACTGCTGAATGGCACGGTCATGTTGACTAAGGAGGAAGGGGTCTTGAACGTCCCAAGAGATATAGAATCTCTTGCTATGCTGGAGCGTCCAAGGTAGTCCAGGGACCAGAGTTGTTGGATAATCACGCATATAGTCGAACAGCAATGGATACCAAAACTTTCCCATGAGTGGTGGCATATTGGCTCGGTTGAAGACCAGCAGATGGATCATCTCCAGTTTGTCGTTCTTGGGGAACTCGGGGCACTTCCAGGTGGAGTGTCTGGATGAGTTACAGATGGCGCAGCCATAGATGAAGCCATTTTCACGAACTCGATGACACGTGGCTACCGTGTGGCCGCTGTCTTGACAGTTACCACAGATCCCCGGGGCATCGCCGAAGCCTGGTGGATTGAGCATAGTGACTGCTTTGCAACGAGTGTTTGTGTCTTTCAGTTTGAAGTAGATCTGGGGATCAAGTCGCTCGAGGGCGAGTCGGTCTCTGGCTGAGACGATCCGCTGTCGCTTTGCCATCCCAGGCTGCATTTGAGGCTCCGTGTTTGGTGGCACTGTCGAGAGTCCTGCGTTCCAAGAGAGAGTTACGGGTTCGCTTTGTTGGAACATTCCCTCAATTGCCCGTATGGCAGCTTCACGGTTGAGGAAGCTTGCGCGGCCTTTGCCTTTAAGTACTGCATAGTTGATGCCGTGACCGACCGTGTTCACTTGGGACATGCTGTCGTGACGGCCGGAGAATACAGCTTGGCTCGCGGCATGGGCCGTATTCATCTGTTCAGCACGCCCTGCGTTGTTCTTACGCTTCATCCCTCTACCGGCCTGGTTAGCTTCTTGGCCATCACTCTCTGACTGGCTTTGACTGACTGCCTGGTCCTCATACTGAGGGAAGTTGTCATTCATCTCTCGATGAACAATATGGTTGACTGCCGCACCGGGTGGTCGGAGGTGCCAGGTGTTGAACATGGTAGGGGGTGGAAGCTGTTGAGCAGCAGGATGGGGGTGGTCATCGTAGTGACGGTGGTGGTTTGAGAATCTCCCATAAATTGGGGGATACGAGGCAGGTTGTTGGTATTCCCATGGTTGTTGACCGTAGCCGGGAGTTGGTGCAGCGTTACCGAACTCTCGAGGCTGTCCACGACCTCGTCCAACTTGAGGATGAACAAAGCCTTGGCCGCCCGCGTAAGGGTATCCGCGGCCATTACCCTGATGATGGTTGAAGGACATCGTTGTATTGCTTGCAGTTGTTGATGTCGAGGGTAAAGAAAGGAAAGGGTGAAGTGGACAGAAGAGAGAGGATAGAAACATAGAAGGAAATCTATTTTCTATAGGGATATTGGATGCCTGGCATGGGCACTCGCGTTGATGGCCGTTGCCAGTGCCAGTGTAATGTCCTACCACTCCCAGACATCAACTCACACTCCGGCGAGTCGATGTACACTCACGCCCTGTTGCACTGGAAGAATACTTAAAGATTATAAACTTTATTAGTTATTTGCTTATCATGATTATTAACAGCTGGTATCCCCCTTTTTCCAAGACATTATCTCCTGAAACCAGTGGTTCCATGCTCAATACACATCCGTTCACCCATGGGCGTATTAATAGGCCCATACGTCCAACTTCCTCCAAGCCCTTGGACAGCATCTTTTCGTTTCCTTGCACTCATAGCCGCGACACCCTCAAGACCTCTCACCCATGGTGCATCAGCAACATACCAAAGTGCACCAGCGAGACTTCGTGGATCGACGGGCAAGTCGGGCCACTTGACCAACAAACTGGACAACATGGCGAAGACCATGATGAGCAGAATACCAATGCTCAAACGGGAGCATATCTCGTGGGCTTCGCTTGTTTGTGTGAGGCTGTATGGTACGTTGGCGAGCAGAATTGGGAGAAACTGGGCGAGGAGGGTGGTGAACGCTGTGAAGAAGAGAAGAGGGTCCCGGATTCGGAGAGCAACGAAGAAGCCGGATACTGGGTTTGTTGCTGGTGTCATAAGGACTGATCGAGTAGGAACTTGAGGGTCCTGGGCCATTCGACGATAGGGGGTGATAACAGCGACACCTGACAGGTCAGTACATGTATCAATAGGGGCGAAGATGACTTACTGGTGAACAGAAACTCCCAGCAAAATACAACGATAACTCCCAGCGCAGAACAAACAAAGCGGACACCAAAGTCTTGACTCTCCATCAGCTTCTTCATGTTCTTCGGCAAGTGGCCAAACGTATCAACAAAGTGATAATAACTGATGAACCCAAGAAGACAGATCAGAAACACGAGGAATGTGAAGCGATACCAAAAGCTCAAAGCCATGAAAGTCTGTGGCGCTCGACGATGAGTTTGTGGACGATACGCCATGCCCTCTTCATACGGCGTGTTGCCATAGGGGGCTATGATATTACGGTTGATGTCACCAACGACAACAAGACCGTATTCGTCTCTTCCCTCTTGATTCTGGAACCATCCCATAGCGAACCTCTTTTCCGTAACGGCACTCTTCAGATCTTTCCAGTCTTGAGCTCCCATCGAACGAACTTCAGGGTTACGAGCAACAAGTGCCGCGGTATTGGCAGCACACCAAGGGTTCGCAAATACGCCGGTCCGCCAATGTCGACTGATAACACTGAGTGTGAACATGAGTAGAATGGCGATTGCGCCGAGAAGACCGACGAGAGCGTAGGCAGCTGTGTTCGAAACACCAAGTTCAAGAGCACAACCATCGATGGCGCCCTTTTTGCAGCGTCCATAGATCTTGAGACCGACAGCTTCGCTGGACAATGGCGCCGCGATACTAGATGCCCAAAGAGCGAGTGCCGTCAGGAAGGGAAGAGGCTGGTTGTTAAACAACAGCTTGAACGGAAGATAAATACTCATCCATCCATCGAAGCTCAGCAACAAAGCCTCACGACCCAAAGCACCACCTTGCCTCGTAAGCGCCGCAAAAGGCTGATACTGCTGCGCCGACTGATTCAACGCTCTGATACCCATCGCCAAAAGAACAGCAACAATAGGCGGTAGAAACTTTCCAATGAAATACCCAGAATGCGTAAGTGTATGCGTCGTAGCCTCAACAACAATCTTAGTATCACCAGTCGGCGTCTCAACATCCGTAACAACAACTTTTGTCGGCGGCACAGTCGTAACACGCGTAGTCCCAACCGGCGTAGAAACAGACGTTATAACCTGTCCATCCGCCAAAGTCTGAACCATCGTTACCGGCGGTGGCGCATCAACGATTGTCTTGACTGTAGCAGCGACTTCACTTGTTCGAACCTTTGTAACAGGCGGTTTCGCAACTTTCCCTTCTGAATCGATAGTAAGAACCGAGTAAATCGTCGTAGTTCCAACAGAGGCGTAAACAACTGGTGGACCAGTCCGTGTCGTTTCTCGCACGGTTGTGCGAACGGCGCCGTTTTCTTTTACGGTGATGAGTGTTTTTGTTTGGCCGGGTTGGACTACTGTTGTAGGCTGCCATTCTTCGGGAGGGACTGATTCTTCAGGGATGAAGGAGGTAAAGGATGATGCTGCTTCCGTGATGGTTTCGGTGAGGGTGACTTCGCCTGTTTCTGTGATGGTCTCGGTTGTTTTGGAAACTTCGATCGAGCCTGGTTCTGTGACCATTGTTGTAAAGACCGATTCGACGAGGGCTGTTGTTAAAGTTCCGCCTTCAACATCACCAGTCGCAGCAGGTGTATCGTCTGTAGGCACTGGCTCTGGCTCAGGTTCTGAGGCTTGGGATTCTTCAGTTCCAGTGTCGGCTGTTGGTTCGGGTTGAGATGGTTCGCTCGCGACATCTTGTCTCTTCATATAGAACAGATCTTCATTCGTGATTCTAAACGAGCGACTCTCGAGTGTTGCTGTTTTGTCATCTCCATTTAATGTCCTTGTAGCATAGAGGATCAGTCCCATGAGACCCAGCAACACAAGTATCAATGCGCTGATGAAGGGCCATCGTAGAGGAATTGGTCGATAATCCGGTCTCTCCCGTTCTCGCTTCTCAGGTTGTCCCGCATCTGTCTCTATGGGATAAACTTCTTGTGCAGTGACAGGTTTATACTCGTATGTACTTTGCTGTTGTTGCGGTTGTTGCTGCTGATATGGTTGATAAGGTTGATACGATTCATTCTGTAAATACGGCGGTTGATACATCTTGACGACCGCAAAACTTGTGTATCCAACTTGAGTCGCGTGCAAGGAAAGGAGGCTTTATTAAACCACCACAACCTCCAACGCCCAAGCCCACCAGCTCTCCAACTCTCCGAATGCCACGACTGCATTAGCAGGGCATTCACCGTGTCATTGCGTCCCCATCATTGGCTTGACCTTCAACGGCATAACGACCTAAACGTAAAATCCAGGCGTGGCGTCTCCCTTGAGAACCAGGACAGCTGAGCTATTGAAGAACCCAACGATATCATTGGATCAACAGGCGAATGATGTCGTAGGGCTGAGAGCTAGACAGTCTCAAAGAGGAAACGCCAAGACTGAGCTGGAGTCTAGACCATTTAAGCTTATCGATATTTGGGTAAAGCCATCATGTGTCATTTCCACACAGCAGAATATTTGGCAGTTAGCCTTGCACTATTTCGCATGTGAGTTTGGTATAAAAATAAAAATAAAATGTTTAATTATCGTAAACTATGACAAGGCAGATTCCAACGCCTCATGTCCAAAAACCAGTGTACCAAACGCCATCCTAATTGTATCCAAATTACCAGCCGAGAACGTTGAACAGACTTGTTCGGGGATCAGGAACAGAGCCATTAAAGGTCTTTGCACGAACAGATTCACTCTTTGTGGTGTTGTATTGACTAAAGTAGCGATCGAATGTTCGGGATTGGTTTGTGAGTTGTGAGCGAACGTAGCCGCCGACAACAGAGATGCTTCCAACAGCGATGAGAACAGGAAGGACCCTGAATATGTTAGCTATGAATATGTTGAGAGGAAGTGGATGCTTACTTGGGGCCGACAGTGGGCTTGATCATGAGAGCAGCCATTTTTATGGATTGGTGTGATTGGTGGGTTGTGTAAGTGAGTTGAAGCTGAAGATGCAAGTGTTGTTGGTGAGAAGATCTCAATGATTGTTGTTGTGATTGATGGTGGTGAGAAAAGACGTTTAAGAGCACAGAATTCCATCATTATATATTTCTATTGAGGTTCGTTTCGTTCAATTCCGTAACTGTTTTCTTCGGTCGCATGTTGATGTTCTGAACTGGCGGGTGGTGCTGTTTTTGGTGGTGCCATAGAATGATCCAGCCCAGGGCACAGCCATTTCGGGCGATGCCGGGGTCCGCAACACCATGGATTGGATCTCTACATCTTGTGAGATCTTCAGGATGAATTGATGGATTATCTGTATTTACGATTAACTACATGATATCTTTTAAAATTGCTTTACTGTATTCTAAATTTGTCTGCCATTTTCAGAGTACTATACATGTAATGTATGTATATAATTCTAATTAGTCTCGAACAACTGGTTACAGAATTATCAATTTGACAAGTATCAACATATGCATTTGCCTCTGCGACAATCATATTTCAGCAATTGTTCAGTTGAAGCTACCTACCCATCGCATCTGTAAATGCGATTATGGTGATGGCATTCTCAGAATCTGGCGGCGAAGAATCATCTGATTATCGGACCCGGCGTCTACCGAACCCACCCAAATTTCTCCGGAAAATCAGTTCATCATTCGGTTCTCGACACACACATCCCCCAAGTCCATTCTCGACTCTAAAATCGTCTCACTGAACGATTTTAACTCTGGCACCGGAAACTTCAGGAATAATGCCTTTTTTTTTACTTTCCTCGGGTGTTTGTTTTTTGTTATGCGACATCGAGTTAAGAATGATGATCTCATCAAATTCCAGTTGGCCTCAAAGTCGGTGTCTGCATCAGAATCCTCCATGTCTTCTACTTATCTGTCTATCAGCTCTCCGTACGTCCCAGCCCCGGAGTCATCAAAAGCCCACCGGTCGGGGTCCCACAATTCCCGGTGCCCACGCCGGGAGCACAGCCGGCGACGTAATGGATCATAGGCGCAAAAATGAATGTAGACAAGATGCAAGCCTTTAGGCCAACAATCAACAATGCACATGGTGTTCATCTTTCCTCATCACTACCTTATCTCTTGAGCCTCATCTAGTCTCACCAAGACTTCATGTCACAAACCCATTCCAAATCATATCGTATCAGACCTACCGCCAACAGTTCATCAATACAACCATCCTTCAACCTCCAATCCCAACACCTCGGAAAATTCCAATCCAATTCCCAGACTCTCATCCACACGCCACATGCTTCTATTCCCGCCTCAATCCCAAAACGTTCATTGCCCATCAATGACATCCAATAATCGTCAATGGCTACCCATCTCCAGATATTCTGACGCGGGGAAGCTCCTGATACTGTAGCTCACCACGTCATCCCTCCATCATTCAAAGCTTTTAGATCATTGACTGAACCCTATTAAATAGCCAAGGTCCCTCAATTGCTGAGATCCATTTACTGCTTCATAATAATTGCTGTATTAGAAGAATAAGTCAAAATGTCCATGAGATTAATCCTTCGTCCTGTGGTGCGAATGCCACTCCTCCGTCCCCAGATCCGTCTCGCAACTTCAGACCCTACACATGTCCATCCAGATGGTAACCTCGGCGGTCCGGGAGGTCAGCAGCCCCCACCTGCACGACCCGGCGGTCCAGAAGCCATCGCAAGGAACTGGTACTACACCTCTCCCCCAATACATCACCCTCTAACAATCTCAGGATGCCCATTGCTGCTGCTGCAGGTGTGATCGCAGGCGGCGTCTACATCATGCTCCCCACACGAGGAAAATCACCTGAAAGAACTCTTGAAAGCGATATGGTAGCTGCCAACTCGACTGCGATTGGATACATCGGTCAACCATCTGGAAAACCAGGTATTGCTTCTCATTATAAGGAATTACGAGATGGGAAAGAGGTTGAGTCGATGAAGGAGCTGAGTGGGAGGAAAGGTGGTGGTTCAATGGGTCCCTTCCGAGCGGAATAAATAACGAAAATGTATTCATAACAGAGGCGAATTGCCCAGAGTATCAAATTGTCTATCATCGCTCGATGGAGCCGTGCATTAATAATAACACATCGCTTACTTCTGCTCTAAAGGTTCGTCCTTCTTTTGTAGCAGATAATCTCCTCCAAACACCGCTTTGTACACTCCTCTCAATCCTCTTATCGGCCATCCTGTCCTTGCAGTTGACTTCATGAGTTTCTCATCACCTTCGATATCAACTTTGACTTTGTCGTAGACATTTGGTAAATGCGACGCTCCGTACTTTGCTCTTAGCGCATCATACGCTTCTTTGTTGTAATGTGACCAGAATTCATCTTCTGTGTAGTATGCCTGGGCGTATAGCCATTTCTTTCCTCCGCAGTCTTGTACTTTTTGCTCCAGGGCTCGATTATGTCGAATTGCGTCTCGTCGGTTTCCTTGTAGTGGACCCCATATTCCAAAGTTCATGAGTTCCACGGTTCCAGGTTTTGCGAATTCTGCGTGCAGACCATACCCTGAGTCTGGATCTTCTCGTCGCACTCGCAATGGACATATCCAGAGGGGGTAAATTCTGAATTGCTTGTCCAGCCAGTTTTGAAACTCTGGTACGCTGTTGTAGGGTACTCCGACGTCTTGAACCATGTAGTAGTCGAACAAATTACTCTTGTGACCGGCAGAGTACATGACGCGTGCTCGGAGGAGAGGATCCAGAATATATCGTGTCAGCCGGTTGAATGGTGTGAGGAAATACTCGAATGCGTATTTGGCGACCCAGAATCCACCTCTGTCGTATCGAAAAAGATAATCCTTCAATGGGATGTAGTCGGCGACGCATGTGACAGATCCCATCCGTAGCCCATCTCGAACCTTTTCAACATGAAGATAAAACCACTTATCCTTCCGTCGGTTCAACTGTCTCGGCGTAGCGCTGATCGGTATCTCATCCACCATTCGTCCCGCACATACAACAGTCGTATCCTTGGAGTAAACAATCCCATCAACATAATCATTCTCCCACCTCTTACACTCCTCCTTAATAATCTTTACAGACTCAGAGGGCCCCCTCGCAAGCCGATATTTGAGCTCAACATACTCCTTCGCTTCCTTTAACTGAACCTCCAACAACGTAACAACACCGAGTGTTCCGAACGCCGAAGCAGCACCCCAGAAAAGATCCGGCTGCTCCGTTTTCGAAGCACGCGTAACACTTCCATCCGCGAGAACAATCTCGATCCAATTAACAGTCGCGTCGAAAGCACCGTACCGGAAAGAGCTGCTCTCTCCCGACGTCCCCGAAAAGCCACCTCCAACGGTAATAGCCGGGAACTCCATAACAACCAGCGGAACAAGCCCCAGCGGTAAAGTCGCATCGACGAGAACTTCCATTGAGACATTTGGTTCAACAATCACCGTCTTTGAATCTTTGTTCACCTCTATGACATGGTTGAGCTTGCTTGTGTCAACGGTGTTGTCGACACGGCGGTTTGAGTGCCGTGTGCTGTTAGTGGAGCCATGGTATAGTCGGAACGGTTCCTGGCGGGCGTGAAAGTGTTTAACTCTATCCGCGACGCCAGCGACGATGGTTTTATGAGCGTCCATCATGAGAGGGGATCGCAGAAAAACAAAAAAAAGAGATGAAAGAATCAAAGATAAAAGACTTGGCGAGTCGTTCAGAGTAGTATCGTTTCGGAAATAGCGAGCAATGGTCCACAATTCCTATTCCCTGTGTCGTGCTTGTGCTTGTGCTCGTGCTTACGACCAAGAGTTTTTATATGAGTCGATCACTCATGACGCTTGATTCCGACATATCCGAACATGATGATTGCTTCGAATCAGGAAGAGTCGTCTTATTTACATTTACTTCTTACGGTCTGAGGCGCCACGTCAAACACGTCAGCCCTGCTTTGACCATATCGCCAAGTTTTTTATTCTATTCTGGTCGATCTCAATATGACGTTTGTTGTTTCATTGGTTCAGCTTGTGATGCATGAATAGGCTCGTTTGTTAGTGGACAAGCAATCCTGGAAATGGCCCCCACAAGACATTGTATAAAGAATTGGCAACGAAACGCTTGTGATAAACTATCCTAATGACTCTCTGTAATTCTACGGATAGCTTTGTGTGTAAAGTTCTTCTCTGTATTCTCCTTTCGCTCCGGTCAATGCGAGAAATCATCCAACGGAGGTAGTTCACATTCGCTCTCATCCCCATCCTCCTCTTCCTGATCCGGATTTTCACTTTCCCCGTTCCCATCGTCCTCGACGTCAATGAAGTAACCAAGGTCTATAACAAGAAGAGGTCGTCCCTTTTTGTTGTCCTCGCTGATGAAGGGTTCAGGCGTTTCTCTCCACAACTTTTCCAAGACCTCCGTGTTTTCAATTACTTTTCCTTCCAATTTATCAGTGTAGTTCTCTGCCGGTGTTACAATACCAAGATCGTCCGTTTCGATACCATGTAGAGTACCACTTATCGCCCAGAGCCTTTCCTATCCTGCAATGAGACGTACCTCGATCGTCCATCGGTCAAGATGATCTTGTATTGTACATTTCCGGCAGTCTGAAGGTACCATACCGTTGGTCTTGGATATTAAAAGAAAGCCTTCTGGGACGTTCACCTCGCCATGCAGGGGAATACAGAGTTCGGAGGTGTGTGCACAATCGAACATAACGCGATGAGTGCACGGTTCAACATCTTGGTCAACATCTCCCTGCTGTTTGCCTTCCTATGGGCAGATGGGTGACATATCGAACAACTTGAAGTTATGGACCAGTGCATCGTGACACGAGTCTCCAATAATGTGCCCGCAGGGGAACAATAAAGTAGAATGACCTTTTATTGGGGCGGCTTTGTCGACATCTTGGCAAGGTCTTCGACAGGCAACACAATGAAACCGGAGACACGCATGTTGCAAAGTCAAGAAATTGATCGTAGACTCCTTGTCGTTGCTGTGGAATTTCAGTGTGGTTTTCTTTAGCCATTCGTATGCACTCGGCGCGTGGAATTGACTGGGGAGACCTAGATCGTACTTCGAGATCACATCGAAGAACAGATCGGGCATGTGTGGGAACAGTTGTTTCCGTATGACTGATAAGCTCATGATCTCGTCCTCAGTCGACTCGCCATCCCTGTGTTGGGCATCGGTCATCTCATCGTCTTTCGATGTCTCTTCTATTTTTTCTTCTTCCATTGCCTTTTCCTCTGCCGTAATTCCTTCTGTCGTTTTGTTATCGCTAATTTTGTCGTCGGCCATCTCGTCGTCAGTCATTTCATTGTCTATCGATTTATCGTTGACAACCTCATTGTTGGCCACTTTCTTATCGGCAATCTCGTTGTCGGTCATGATGATGATATCCTCAATAATGTGTAGAATTATTTTTGTATGAGTGACATTGGATGTATGGTTGATGTTGAAAGAGGTCAGTCAAATGGTTGAACTGCAAGCACCCTCTACTTGTGATTCACATCCCTATTCAAGGCAGGTGGTTGTCAAGCGCTTCCTCCTCGTTACTATACTTGGCAATAAGGTACTCTCAATTCTACGTCTCAAGCCTCTAACAAGTAAGGATCGAAAACCCACACTCAGCAACTTCTCAGCCGAATGCCTTCTCATTCTTCCTCTGAGGCAGATTATGACGATTCATCTCGCTTTCACGCCTTCTCTTTGGTAACTCTCCCGGCGCCAAATTAAGCTGATCTAATGAATGGCCTACCCAAGTATATCGCAGCCAACTCAACGGTCTACGCCTCTCAAACGAGGCTTTTTGGTGTTCATCCCTATAAAAGAATGCCAGGATCGTCTGAATCATAAACACAGCTGCATTACCTGTGCATGACGATAGTTTTCCGAATCGAGTATCTTCAAAGCGAATACCCAGACGCTCCAGAACATGCTCAAATGCTGCTGGTTGTTGAAGGCGTGTCTCAAATTGCTTCTCCTTCTTCAAGTCCCATATCTGCACGTTGGGTTCCGCTAACCATTCCAGACGAAGTTGCAACAGCGCAATTTTGACGGGTTCTGCGTCGAAGGTCAGAAAAATGAGCTGTCGAAGACATCCTTGCTCGACCTCATCTTTCCGTCGGTTCTTTTTTCTCAGCGCTGAAAAGACTCGATACAATCTGTACGTAAGATCACTCTCCTGGACCCTTCTTGATCGGCCAAAAGCGAACAAATATGGCGATTGATCTGATCAACCTTGGTCCTCGAGCTCTTCCACGATATAATGAAGAGGAGTCATGTATTTGAACCAGGACGATCCACGATCTCCAGGCATGACGCCCTTACCACGGTCATACAGGATGTCTCGCATGTCGAGATACGCGACTCCGGCCTCGACGACAGGGTCGTGTCCATATGTCGGTCCATCTAGCGATACGCTACGCTCTATCCCGCAAACACGATGGAAATCCAGAGAGATAAGGATGTAATCAGTGTCAGGCATTTTGACGAACTGGCTCGTCTGGGTATCTAGTGTAGGGAAGACGTTTTCCAGGCTTTTGGGAGGAACGGCACATGATTCGCAAGGGATGCAATCCAATTCTTCGTCAGAAATGGATGTGTTGGACGAGCAACTCTCCTCGTGACTCGAATTCGACATTTTCAGAGTTATATCGAAGTGAAGGAGGATCTCAGGGGAAGCTCAGGTAAGGATTCGAAAGAACAGCTGATTTCGAACTCGTTGATTTCACTGCAAAACACACACAGCCGAGCAATCAACCTGCCATTTATATACGTTGAATTTCCCGTACTCCCAAGCATTTTTGTAAGTGAACGGCGACAAATCAGGTCTGTGAGCAAGAGTCTCATAGAGTTTGTCAGTGAACCGTGCCATTGTTTGTCCTTGGCTACCAATACAGCACAATTCAGAGCGAAAGCGCTGATCTCAATCATGTCAGAGCATCGGCCACGGGCAGAAGAAGATATTCTCCCGCTGTAGTAGTCACATTTACCCAGCAAACACAACTTGAACCTCGAAATTTACTGCATCCCGTTGAGTGAGGGGATTGCTTTGCAAATTACAGTTAAGGGCAGTAAAGTAAAAGCTTCGCATGTGATTAATATCTAATAATTCCAATCAGTTCTAACCTCATTACTCTTCGTTACAACAGTCTACCCAAAAGCACCATGTGGAGGCCAAGCTATCCTCTTCGTGAGATTTACAGTCTTGGGATAGCTGTTAAATATGTCCCTCCCAACTTGAGCATATCAACAGCTTCCTTGACCATCTCATCAACAATTTCCCCAGCTGGCTGGATCTTGGTGATGGCTCCAGCAACCTGTCCCATCAAATGCGGCAGGTCGAAATCGTTGCCATGCTCAAAGTCGTACTCAATTGGTACAACGCCCTTATCGCACAGCTCCTTGATCTTGTCTGGCTGCTCATGCCACTTCCTGATATAATCGTTCGTCTTCATTCTCAGTGGTCGTCCAGAGATAACAAGGGTTCGCTGCGTATCTTCGTATCCACATGAAACAACCTCTTTCTTATGTTCCTCGCTACAACTAGCTTCAACAGAGGCAACAAACCGTGTACCCACCCATACGCCTACAGCGCCCTGCATCAATGAGCTCGCAAGACTTCTTCCAGAGGAAATACCTCCAGCTGCAATGACCAACGCGGGCAGACCCTTGAGAAGAGGAGGGTGGTACTTTGATGCAACGTCTGCGACTGCGGGGATGAGAATGGAGTTTGCAACATCTCCTGTGTGACCTCCTCCTTCGCCACCTTGAGCGCAGACCATATCAACTCCAAGCTCGAGTGCTTTGGTCTTGGACGTGTCAGTGAATAGCAGCAAACCCCTGTCTGTGACTTACTGCATGCTTAGGATGGCCAACCATGTTCATGACCAGGATACCCTTATCATGAAACCTCTTAATCACCTGCGGTGGTGGTACACCAACAGCACTGACAAACAGCTTGGCACCACTGTCAATGATGATGTCCACCAACTCATCCAACTTTCCACCAGTGTAATCATGGTTGGTCTTACGCGCATTGCCTCCGATCTGAGGCAGGGCGAGATCAACACCAAAGGGTAGATCAGGTCGTGAGAAGTTGGCCTTCATTTCTGCGATGATCTCTCGAAGTTGATCAGGTGTGTACTGAAAGCCACCAATTATACCAAGGCCACCAGCGTTGGATACTGCTGCTGCAAGACGACCACCAGACACCCTAGCCATACCGGCGAGGATGATGGGGTGCTTGATTCCCAGCAGGGATGTAAGTGGTGTTGTGATGGGGCCTGGAGGTGCCATATTGTGATATTACGAATAATAATAAGAGGTGATAGTTTAGAAACAGATCAAGTATAAGAACACAATACAGCTGGATATTGGCCCTCGGCCCTTACATATCTGTGGGGTATCGGTTCTTTAAACATCATCTCAACCGATCTACCGGTTTGCGGGGGAGCTTTCAACCAAATCCGAGGCATTACCGCATTAGGTTACCAATTCGCGTATCTCATGTGCCTTCGACTGCGCTTTGAACGCTTTCTACATAAAATGCCGACACCGGTAATGCATTGCCTTTCATTGTATTTGTGCATATTGTGTTCCCATTGAACGCTGCATCTAACAAGTTATCCCGTCTCATTCCCGTTTCATCGTTGGCTCAAATTCCATACTTGGCTCAATGCTGGTATCATACATGAAAATCCGTGACTCGCTATCATCCCTCATTAGGTAGTATTACAGAGAATTAAGTCCTCGTCATTGGAAATGCGGTAAGCGCGCTGGAACGAAATCTGTCTTCTCCGGTGATTTTGTGCCATCGGGCTGTGAAGCACTCGGCAGGTCATCTTGTGTCGTGGGTTTGTCTTCGACTTCTTCAACGTGGTGGTAGGCGGCTTTTGAGGGCGATGCTTGATAAACATCATCCTCTGCAACTTCTGGTTTTGACTCGGAGATGGATTTGGGGCCAGATCTCGGTGTGAGGCCTTTTTCTGCCGCGAGTTGCGCTGCTGCTTGCTTCTTCCTCTCGACATCCTCGTCTTGTTCTTTTCGTAGCATATGCTCTTCTTGTTCCAGGTCGTGTAAATTTGGTGCCTCAACATCTGGCGTTGCAGAGAACGATGTAGATCGATGCTCCATTCGGTAGTCGTCCTTGGAAGAGACTGATCCTAATGTCGTCCGCGATACTGTTCTTGACCCTGCCAAACCACCCGCTGGGCTTTTACCCTTACTGCTTGTTCTCCCGCTTCTTCCGCTTCGATCATCCTTTCTAACCATGTCGTATGTTACTTCGTCATCGAGTGGAATTGCATCTTCTTCACCTTCGCCGTCGCTTGGGAATAAATCACCTCGTGATCGATATGAATCTGATGTATCGCCCGACCCTGTCGTCCCGCTGCGCTTTCTAGTCACTGGTAGGTCAAATTCGGATCCTTCGTCAGAATGTAGTAGTGGTTCGTTTTCTCCTTCGCCATGTCGTCGTGGATGGTCTTGTAGATCTGCCGCACTAGGTTTGTATCGTAGAGTACCGCCCATCTTCCATGGTAACTTGCTGAGGAATCCGATCGGTTGTGTACTAGGGATCACGGTCGGGTCATCGTCCATACTTGGTTTTCGTCTTCGGTCTCGGGTTCCATAGCTCATGCCGCGTTTCCTGCGCGGTTGTTCAGTTTCTCCCCCGGTGTGTCTTCGCTGAGTGCCAGTCCCAGCCAACAATCTATCCCAATCCTCATTCCCCCATGTGCCGAACAGACCACTCTGCTCTTCCTCATACCAGTCATCATAAAAGTCGAAGCTGTACTCTGCCCTACTATGCGACAGCTCTCGTTCTCTGCGCTTTCGTAGACGTTCCTCAGGGTCACCTAGACATACTGTCGTACACTGTTCAATAGAGTGCGCGATGGAGGAAAAGCATGGGCTAATATAATTATGTTGAAAGGTCCAAATTCCTGCTGCCGCATTTTCTGTTATGGTCTCGGTATCGTGGGCAATTTGGTTCCAGCGTTGGCGCAGTCGGGGGTCCTCGAGGAATGCCATTGTGAAGATAGTGGATATGACGTCGCAACATGGAAACGTCGAGGTCGCAATGTGTTTCAGATGGAAGAGAATTCAGAAGAGCAGATGATTATTTTGGGTGTGGGTTAATTAGTAGACATGATCGCAAAGGCGAGGATTTCGCGATCAGCCATCAGAAGTATAATCTCGTGAGCGACAGGCTATGATTGAAGATCAGAGTTGATTGTAACTGTAAGACAGCGGTTGTTGTGGCACGTGCAGCGAGGTGAGACGATTAACAGTTGGGCTTGTTGGGTGGTTGGTTGAGTGGAGGTACTTTGAAACGTGGTTGTCTGGTGGCTGGCGATCAAGTACTGGATCCACTGGGCTTGACTTTGATATCTATGATACTTCAATGTTGTAATTCGATGAATCTTGACATGATGAACCTTATTATTTTGGGGGAGATAGCGAGGCGGGATCTTGTCGAGTTGTCCAAGCTTACACTCTATTTCGATTTGACGTTACATTTGTCTTAGACGAGGTAAGAAAGTATTCGTATTGAGCAGTCTGCAGGTGGTATCAGGCAACGCAAGAGAAACAATAAGTAGTACCAAACAGTCCAATAATCTCAAGTTCTGGTATCCTACTTCCTTGGGATACGCATATTCGCTATCACTCTTTCGATAAGCTCTTCCTTGGTGGCCTTGGGGTCGGGATGTAGATTTCTCTGGCTGCGTTAGCCTAGGTCAACAGCTGTGAGTGATTCACTTGCCTTGTTCAACCACAATTGACATTCTTCCTTTGTCCATGTTTTAGGATCACCGGTAGGGTCTGGTTGAGGTGGGAAAACACCCTGACCATCGTTTCCCCAGATTGTGTATGCCGCTGCCATAGAAACAACGCCTCCAAAGACTGGGCACATCAGTTACTGTGGCTTACCCTGCAGATGAAGGATACTTACAGAGAACGACGTTCTACGGAGATGTTAGTGGTGTTTGAGCCTGGTAGATGATAGATATCAATCTATCACTGTGCATTTCGCTCTTACCTTGGACTTCATAAAGTTATCGAGCCTAGTGGACATGTTGACGTTTTTCGTTGAGAGTCACTGACGTTATCAATCAACTTGGTGATAGGAGTTGAGGAGAACCAAGTGACGTTGGGCAAATAAGTCAAGAGAACAATAAAAATAATACAAAATAAAGATAATTAGCACCTAAATAGTCAAACTTTCAATATTCGCAATCACAGTGAAAGGTGGCCATTTCAAGATTCCTGCCTGTTGCCTCAAGGCCTCGTCTCATCCTCGTCTGCGCCACGTATTCTTACGCCACATCTCGGTGGATCGGCGACCAACTCTCCCGAACCAGTCCAGCAAACGACCATGGTCCGTGCACTTCAAGGCCCCGCGAAAAGCAGCGCACAAAATTAATTCTCCCCAAAATCATATCGAAATCGTCAACCCGTGCCTTTGACAAGTTTCCGTTCAACCCATCCACCTTGAACTACCGCCAAGATGCCTCAAGAGGTCGCCGATATCAAGAAGGTATGAGATACCATTGATTGCGGAAGAATCGAAATACTGACTCAATGTCCAGTTCATCGAGATCTGCCGTCGGAAGGACGCCTCCTGTACGTTTTGACGAAAAGATAACCTCCCACGAAAACGCAATTCGATTCTAACAATTTGCCCAACAGCCGCGCGGATCAAGAAGAGCCAGAAGACCAACAACATCAAGTTCAAGGTCCGCTGCCAGAAGCACCTCTACACCTTGGTTCTCAAGGACACCGACAAGGCCGAGAAGCTCAAGCAGAGCCTTCCCCCCAGTATGATCCTCCGCCAGGACACCACGATAGCTACAAATCACTGACACAGCACGCAGACCTGCAACTCACCGATGTCTCCAAGAAGACCAAGAAGTCTGCTTAAGAAGGTGGTTTGAATAACGGGTTTACTCTGGGTGTGGGAGGATTTCACATGCACGAATGGGCGTCTCGGGATACCTTGCATTTCATCATGTGCTCTGAAAGGAGGATACTCGGATGAGTCCAAAAAAATAAAAAGAACGATTCGAGTCACAAAGATATTGGGTTTTTGCGTGATGAGTGTTGAATTGCTAATTTAGAAAGGGCTTGTGTTCGAAGCGGGAGACTTTGGTAGCTTCGAACCTCACAGCTATACCGGACTCGATCACGTCTTCGAAGCCTGGGGATGCGAGGATGACCATATTTGAATCGTCACCTTCTATCTTCCATCCTGCCCACATTCTTTGACCTGGAAGTGTTGCGGATTGGGTCTCGATGGAACGATAATCTTTTTCGAGAGTTGCTTTTTCTTCGGGCTTCACTGATATCTTCCAGACCTTGACCGATCCTCTGGCAAGAATATCTCCTCGAAATTCATTTTCTCCAGCTGGTTCCAGATGATACAAGGCCACAGCGTCTTTGCCTTGACTGATGAATTCTTTGAGCTCCTGCATTAGAGAGATATTCTCTCGACTTTGGATCCATTCATTGTGACCATCCACAGATTTCCATGGTGCTGTGAGAAATAGGTACGGTGCTTCGCCATCGGTGATCCAAATGTCGGTGGTATAGTTATAGGGTTTTCCTTCAAGGAGATTGGGTTGGTGTTCTCTGATCCATTGAGCTTGTACTTGCTGGGTTTCCTTGAGGATGTTTCGTAGCCTATCCTCATCGTACCCCGGTTTTAGTTGGATGAAGGCTGTTTCAATGACGCCGGCCATTGTATTGACAAAAAAATTGGGTTGTTCAATTGGCCTAGAGGTTCTAGATGCCTTTGATCGTTCATGATGAAGCTGAATTAAATAATCAGTTAATCAGGCATCTTTGACGACGTTGAAGCGGGGTTCAGTTGATGATGCGCCATTGAGTTGCCTGGGAAGGATCACAGTCAGCAACGTAGTCGTCAGCCATATGATTGAATGCTAGCCGTAGTCCAAGGAAATTTCCGTTAGTCTGATATGGGCATCGTCTCAACCTTTTTGTCCCACCAAATCTTTCATTATTAACTCTCATGATACTCTCAGAAGATCCTCAAAATGATAGCCTCAATTTCGAGACTCTCCCCAGTTTTGTTGTACCCTCAGCCTACCAACTCACTGTCAACAACGACATGCGTGCAAATAGCCTCGACACGTCTCGAATCATTCCGTGCCTGGATTGCCGCCTTCCAGAAACTTGAAGAATGTCAACTTATTCCCATCAGGGTCATTGATAGCGAACTGCCGATAACCCCATGGCTTATCTTCAACGTCTTCTTCAATCACATCACTTCTCTGACCCTTGACAGTATCATGCAGCATGTCCAACTGCTCTGTACCCAATGCAATGTATGCCGACCCTGGTTTGAAAATACCACTTTCAGGTTTGAAGAAGTAGATATTGGCTGCTGCTTTGTCCCCTGCGAAGATTGAGCAAAATGTATAATCTGAAGACGGCCCGTCCTCTGGCTTTACCCCGCCCAATTCGAATCCAAGAAAGTCGACATAGAAATCAAGGGTTCTCTGTATGGATTTTGATTCGAACGTTGGAATGATTTTCCATGCTGAAGAGATTGGCGCGGTCATGCCGTGTCTGTTCAATATAGTATTCGTATAAAAGAGATGCGAATACGAAAGTGTTTCAATGCATTTAGCAGCAAAAGAGGAGCGTTATGTATGCGACAATTGATGCACTCTTTGTTGTCCAGTAACAGGCTACAGCTTCTCCAAGTACGGATACGGCCACACCAATGAGTTATAGCTGCAGGCACCAGCATGGATATTTTCCCGCCTGTCGTCATATTTTAGCTTCGCCTCGACGACGTAACTGCAAGCCTGCAAGTTCCAACGACTCCAAATGTTTCGTTGCTTCGGCAGATATTTGAGGCTGGCTCAAAGTCTCATAACCTGATTTATAGAGACTCACCCGACCAACCAGAGTGTTTCCTATCACAATCAACGTCTTGTCTGGTGTATCGATCAACGGCTGAACCAGACGGCTCATCCGGCACGGCACACAGGGTCACACGGTTGGGTTGCTGTTGTATGGTTCGTTCCTATTGTCATCATCATCAATCACGCGGCTACAAATGCCGATGCCTGTTTCTTCTGTATCCCTTCTGCATCTCTGCTTCAACTGATAGGCATTTCTGATTCTGGAACCTTGAACTACCCGGGCATCGCCGGCAAACTAGGTTCATATAGTTTTGCTTGTTCGATTTTCCACTCTCGGTTGCTGCATCGACAAATCGCGGGAGACGGGACGTCTAAGTCGTGGTGGTGGGCTCAGCTCAGTCTCCAGATAAACCTAAGCCCAGCTGGAGACTTGACTTTAGCGCTAGACCGCTATTTTGAGTTCTTCCAATTGGAGGCTTATCATTACACATTCAGTTCAACAGCAGAGGACAGATGCTGTGAGTTGTTGGCAACGTCTTGTAGGCATCTCATATCAACTCAACTCAAATATGAAGACGAGATAATAACGATAGCACTTAGATTGTAACCCAAGTCTCTTAGCCCGTCTCGTTAAAGCAGTTAGTTCCACCTCACCTTGTTGATCGTTGGTAACTGTCATCTGCACCATCGAGGCACTCACATCCGGAACCTTTCCTATTTCGGTTGACGGGCGTTTCCCTACATTGTCCTGCTCCTGCACTTTTCCATTGGAACGAAGCAAGTGTGAGGTGTGTCAAAAGGCAGGTACACTGATCTAGGGAGAGAGGTGAAAAGTGCGGGGGACTCAATTACCCGTTACGCCAACAATTCTCAGAGGCCCATCAACCTACGTCTAGACTTCAGCTAACGTTTCTTCTGTGACTCTACTAGGTTTCCTGATTCCCATTCATTATCGTCTTTGGCTTGCATTGCATTGTTGGGAGTCGAGGTCCGTCTGTTGTTGCCCGCTTCCTTCCTAACTATTTTAACTTATCACACCCCCGCTCTCGAATTTAAAGAAGTTACTTTCCACCCCCTGACGATGGTCAAGAAAGGCAACCACTAATTTACCGAATTAAGCAACTTTCCTCCTTCATCTTTCTTCTTATACTTTTCTTTCCACCGTTGAAATCAATTATCTTCATGCAATCCTTTACTACTATTTCTCGCTCTACAGCACTTTCACTTTCTACGAAACATACCGCACAGACATTCATCACGACAGGGGTCAGACCACGTAGTTGGAGATAAGATCAACACCAAACAACACGCGCGACACAATCACTTCCATGCCCTCTTTGACCCCAGTCATGGTTAACGGGCTCAATGGCAGCAATGCCAACGGCAACGGCAACGGCCACGGCCCTGCCTCCGATTCCGGCTCTGAAACATCTGGTGACTCCAGCAATGGCAGTGCCCGTCGTCGCATGAAGTTGAATCGCAAAATGTCAAGCCCCATGGCACCTCCTTTCATGGTATCAGCACCAGGAAAGGTCATTGTTTTTGGAGAACACTCTGTTGTCCATGGAAAGGTAAGTCAGCTCCATGTTATCGCCAATTGCATGCTCACATGATTGGCGCATAGGCAGCCATTGCCGCAGCCATCTCACTGCGGTCCTACCTTCACGTCACCACCCTCTCCAAGTCGAAACGTACCGTCTCGCTCCGATTCACCGATATCGATCTCGTTCATACCTGGAATATTGACGACCTGCCATGGGAGGCATTCCAACAACCCTCCAAGAAGAAGTCGTACTATTCTCTCGTAACAGAACTCGACCCTGATCTTGTTGCGGCCATCCAACCACACATCGAAGTTGTCTCACCTAACCACCCAGAGGAGATTCGAAGAGTTCATCATAGCTCTGTGTCAGCTTTCCTCTACCTCTTCCTATCGCTAGGATCGCCATCCTTCCCTCCATGCCTATACACTCTCCGATCAACAATACCAATTGGCGCTGGTTTGGGCAGCAGCGCGTCAGTTTCAGTATGCCTTTCAGCGGCTCTTCTTCTTCAACTACGGACACTATCTGGACCTCATCCAGATCAACCTTCGGAGGAAGCACGACTTCAAGTCGAACGAATTAACAGATGGGCATTTGTGTCAGAAATGTGTATCCATGGAAACCCTTCTGGCGTGGATAATACGGTTGCGACACAAGGTAAGGCCGTGGTGTTCCAACGGACAGATTACTCCAAACCACCGACGGTTCGACCATTGTGGGATTTCCCTGAACTGCCTCTGTTGTTGGTGGACACTCGACAATCCAAGTCTACCGCACACGAGGTTGCCAAGGTCTCAAAGCTCAAACAAACCCACCCTAAGCTTGTTGGCACAATTTTGGATGCCATGGACAAGGTCACGGATGCCGCTTCTGAGCTCATTCACAACGCCGCTTTTGACAGCGATTCGGAGACGGACCTCGGCAAGCTGGGCGAGTTGATGACCATCAACCATGGTCTATTAGTATCACTAGGTGTTTCTCATCCACGTTTGGAACGAGTGCGAGAACTGGTCGATCATGAGGGTATTGGATGGACAAAGTTAACTGGCGCTGGCGGCGGTGGATGTTCAATCACTCTTTTACGACCAGGTGTACCCACAGACAAGCTACAGAAGCTCGAGGGACAACTAGAATCTGAGAATTATGCCAAATTCGAGACGACTCTTGGTGGTGACGGTATCGGCGTCCTTTGGCCGGCTGTCTTGAAGAACGGCACAGAGGAAGATGACGAGGGTGGCATGGAGATTGATCTTGAGAAGTTCTTGGAAGCCGAGGGCACTGAGGGTGTTGAGAAGCTCGTCGGAGTACATGGCGATACCGGAGAAAGGGAGGGATGGAAGTTCTGGCGAGTTGAAAGCCAATAAATTACTAATGAGACAGAACGTACTCACTTTTGAGCATTTACTCCGATGTACACCATGTGGTCAAGCCATGCAACGTCAAACATGACTAGGATTTAGAGAAGCGGTGGAAAAGGCCTGTTTGGTGGGAGTTTATGGCATATATATGATTGTAATCTAGTAATGCGACATGCTCTTTCTACTCACTTCGTTTGGGCACCGTACTCTGGGTCTCTAGGAATCCGATGTATAATAGGACTACATTTCTGGGCTTGAGGTATCAAACATATCATATCAAAAAAGCTCCAACTACTGCTGTGTGCTCTAAGCGCTCTTGAGCAACGTTACTCGGTATCTCCAATATCCCTCTCGTACAGGATCCCATTTGTCACCAAGACGTCGGAGACAAAGCTCAGCCTTTTCCTTGTCACCCTCTTCATCGTACAATCTGGCCAAGAAATCAAGCGCATGTGAACTGCGCACTTCTTCTCCTTCCTCACCCAGTGCAGTGACAAACTTCTCGGCGAACTCTTTAAAGGAGGATAGGGGACGAGAGCCCTTTGTCAGAACGGCGAAGACATAGTTCCAGGGAGACTGATTCTGCGGTGCAAGATCAATCTTCTCTTTGGAGTAGTTGATTTCTCGATCAATAGTCTCTGCTGGAACGCGAGGATCTGCTTCCGTGGGCCCAGAGCCAGGGGTAGAGGCTGTTGGGTCCGAGAAGACGAGATAGAAGCGGTGCGACCAAGCTGAGTTGTTTCGTACATCCTCCTCAATGTGGTTTTGCGTGGACAAAAGCTCACTCATAGTCCACATGTACAGCTTGGAGACAAGATACTGGCGATACGACCAAACATGGTAGTTCTTGGCATCTGCTTCCAACATCTTTGTGATGAACTGCGTCTCAGAGCGAGCCAGTTGCCGAACAGTCGCAGTATCCTCCTCGATAAGGGGATAGTAGTAGTCCATAAGGAGCTGGCGATGGTTCCAAATCTGGTAGTTCTTGAGATTGTTGAGAGCAACCTCATTCAACCATGTGATCTCATCAGGAATGCTGAGCTTGAGTACCGAAATAATCTTGAAGCGGAACAACCAGACGGTATAGTGTGCTGGGTTCATGGAAATGACGTGCTCTGTCAAGCGCAGACTTCGGGGAGAGCATTCGTCCGCAGCCATGACGGCGCGAAGGTAGGATACGGCTATGATGCTGTTCAGTCAGCCACTCCTTTAGACCTGGGCATCAAACGGACGTACCCTCGGCGTAGTCGTCCGGGTAGGCAATCTGCGCGAGGGCGCCTTCAGGTTCGTTCTGCGGGATGGGGATGACATCGTCCCATTCAGGATCTTGGGACAGAGTACCCGTGATCTCCCCGTACAAGTCCCTCTTGAGCGCAGCCATAGCTTTTCTTCTCGTCTTTTCAGCGGCGATCTCTTCGGTGGTTACTTCGAGTTGCTTCTCTCGCTTCTTGAGAAACTGACGATGCTGTATTTGAAGGGATGTAAGCTTTGCGTGCTTTAACGCGCGCTGCTCAAGCTCGTCGGGTGAATATGTCCCGATATCTCGTCCGGAACGGTCTTTTCCCCAGGCGTAGTCGCGGGGAAGTCTGCGAATAGGTAGACCCTCTTTCGTAACAAACTTCCAGAACTCGCGCTCTGTCTTGTTGGAAAAAGGTACACGGCGGTTTACAGCGGGATGAATAAGGTTGACGTGTGCGTAGGTCTTCTTCTCAGCGGGGGTAAGAGCCGACAAACCGACTTGCTGACGACGGTTCTCGATAGGATTTGTCTGGAAGAAGCGCTGTTGCGAACGCTGGGCGATGGTGTCTGGGGGAGAAGGAGATTCTGGAGCAGCTGGGAAATGTTAGACAGATATATAGAGACCTAAGGAAAAGGGCGTACCTCTGGGCTCGGGGTTCGGGGCCTTGGAGCTGGCTTTTGTCTTGGGTGGCATTGTTGGAGTTGGAGAGCTACGTTTGTGATGGATGGTGGGGTTTTGTCACTGGGTTCTACTGTTTTTTTTGCTGTATGGGGATTGATGCATGTGTAGGGAAGATACCCCGCCAAAATGAAGCTATTGTTCTTGAAGCCTCGTTGAAGAACAATATGAGCACGTTCACTGAGTGATTAAGCACGGGTATTTGTTAGACAGTGTTGGCAAATAGTTGTTGGTGGTGTCAAAATTGAGTTGCTTGTTGGTTTGATGTCTAACTTGATCGATGCCAGATGAAAGCCTATCATCTTGAGTTCATCCGAATGCCCTATTGTTTTATGCGCCATGATACCAGCTCGTTTTTCATAGCCTCATCAAAATCAAGTCCTCTCTCATCTGGTTTGGATCTGTCGTTTATGATCTTCTACCCCGAGTGGCATGACCTGCCCCCTATGGCTTCTGGCTACGGGGCTTCTTGGCCGAGTTTGCGTGACTGGTATCCTCATTCAACGCACGCTTGCTTTTCCCAAAGCTTCTCTCAAACTCTGTCTCCTCTCTAATCGGTATCTCTTCACCCTCCGCCCAGCCCTACAAGGCGCGAAAGTTCTGAGACATGACCAGCCACTTCTTAACACCCTTCGGAGGGTTCTTCACCATAGATTCCCAGTTCGGTACGAGGACAAACGTCTCGTTGAACATCTTTTGAGGCGCTTCTCTGCCTTTTCCGAATTGTACCCTGCCCATAACAGTGACGAGGATAGACATCTTGTCGCCGTTCTTCTCCTTTCGTGCGTTGTCGAAGATGTTTTCGGGCGCGCCCATTGTGAAATTTGGGTTGAGGACGTGTGCGTCAAACGATTCGATCTCATAGTGCGCGTCTTTGCCTTGCGCTTCGAGAAGTTTGGAGTAGTCGGCTGGTGTTGGGAGGACGGCGCCGTTGATGGAGATGTCTGCGCCGATGGGGTATCTTTGGGAGGAGTTGATGTAGAATGGAAGGATGTTGTTTTGTCGGTTGATGGCTTGGTAATAGTTGTTGGTAAAGATTTCAGCAGCTGAGTTTGTTAGCATGTCTTTCGTAAGATGAAGATGAAGATGACCTACCATCGCTGGACGTTTGCACCTCTGTTGCTAGTGTTGGGGCGGACATGATTGTGTTTGTATGTGTATTGATGATTAGAGGAGAGGATTGAATGGGAGGAAGAAGAAGGGCAGAAATAGGCCAGGAGCTTTTAAGGTTGGCGCAAAAGTAAACAGCTCCAGGCAGAGTTTCAAAAAAGATGCCTACGATGATGCAGATGGACAGTTATCGCAAAAGTTACACACACGGTGCATTTTCTAGCTTATCGGATGAAGCTGTGCAGCTGCATGTCTGAATCCCCACATTCCGCTCAGAATTACTTCAAGAACAGTAGCTTTGGAAGCTCAAAGGTGTCATGAGGGCATTCAGGCTTCAATCGCTACAGGGTGCTCGCCAAATACAGTCTCGTTTGGCCTGCCAATCCAGTTTGAGTCGTCTAGGATGTCGAGCCTATGCGCCCACCTCACAATGGCGCCGTTCGAATAGCTCTAAGTCGACAGGCAAGGAGAAGCCGTATTATGTGACAACGCCAATCTTTTATGTCAATGCTGGTGAGTTTGATGTCTCGTAGCTTTGGTATATCTAATTGCTGTGTAGCTCCTCATATTGGCCATCTATACACCATGGTTTTAGCAGATGTCCTCAAACGATGGCAGCAAATCAGCGGCAAAGAGGCCTACCTCGTTACAGGCACCGATGAACATGGCATGAAGATCCAACAAGCAGCTCTGAAAGAAGGAATGCCACCGAAAGAATTTTGCGACAACAACTCCAACAAGTTCAAAGATCTCGCCGAACATGCCAACATCTCGCACGATTTCTTTATCCGAACCACCGATCAAGAACATAAAGATGTTGTACAGCAGTTTTGGCTTCTTCTCAAGGCTCGTGCACCTGAAGGGTTGGGTCTATACAAGGGAAAGCATGAGGGATGGTACTGTGTCAGTGATGAGTGCTTCTATCCTGAAGACCTTGTCCAGTCAAGCGTTTCTCCGCAAACAGGCCGCAAGATTATGGTCAGCACTGAGTCAGGCAATGAGGTCGAATGGGTTTCGGAAGACACGTGGTTCTTCCCACTGTCCAAGTACAAGGAGAAGTTGCTTCAGTTTTATGATGAGAACCCGGAATGGATTAAGCCACCTGGTCGTATGAACGAAGTGCGCAACTGGGTTCAAGATCATCTTGAGGATCTCTCAGTCACTCGCCCTGCAACAAGACTGAACTGGGGAATCAAGGATCCCGAAGATCCAAACAATACTATCTATGTTTGGGTGGATGCTCTTGTTAATTATCTGACCACTTCTGGATTCGGCACAAAGTGGCAGGTTGGCGATAAAGACACAGGAATCTGGCCAGCAGACGTTCACGTCGTCGGCAAAGACATCATTCGATTCCACGCAGTCTACTGGCCTGCTCTTCTTATGGCTGCAGGTCTTCCCCTACCCAAGAAGATCGTCTGCCACAACCACTGGACCATGTCGAACCGCAAAATGTCAAAATCTATCGGAAACGTCGTCAACCCTTTCTTCGCTGTTCAACGCTGGAGTCTCGACGCTTTGCGATACTTCCTCATGCGAAATGGCAGTTTCAGGGGAGACATGGACTACTCGAACGAATCTATCGCTGCTATCTACGAGAAGGACCTTCAGGCTAACATTGGTAACTTGTTCAGCCGAATTTCTCGTGTCAGGAACAGTAAATGGTGTACGATTGAGGCAGTTGAATTCGCAAGGGCTGGTAGATTCGACAATCTTAGCGAGGTCTTGCCTACGCATCCTGGCTATACAAGTCTCGAGAAGAGTCTGAAGAGCCTACCGGAGGAAATCCGACAAAGCATGGATAACAATCACGTGAGCCATGCCTTACGCGGTATCTTTTCGCTTCTCCGAGACGTGAGTATTCATGCTCTATTTGACTACGAGTAACTGACCGTCTTTAGACCAACCGCTACATTTCAGAAACAGCGCCCTGGAACATTGTGAAAGAACAGAGATACGATTCGACTGCGCAGATCCGCCTGAACTGGGTCATTTACCGATGTGCCGAAGCTCTGCGCATAGCAGGCATCTTGCTACAACCCATCATGCCCGAGAAAGCTACCCAGCTACTTGATGGTCTAGGTGTCAAGCCAGAGCGGCGTACCATCGAGTTTGCTCGCAGTGACACTGATCTCGCTTATGGTACAGGACCTGTTCTCGAGAGTAAGCACCCTGATGCATTCGCGTCTCTGTTCCCTCCTGTCGCGGGCATTGAGCTGCCTGATGCTGAAGTTGTGGCTGGGATGGAAGGGCCAAAGAATAGATTGGGTCGTGTTGTGGCAGCATTGGCGCAGGAGGCTCAAAAGGCTCAGGAGGCTGAGACTAAAGAGACTGAGACCAAGGAGACCGAGGCTAAGGAGACTCAGACTAAAGAATGATGGGTATGAATCAGTGTAACGAAATATGTAAAATATGTACAATATAAGGAAAGCGTTGGCATATTGTGCTGTGTTTGCATGTGGTTGTGGTTGTAAGAAGCTTTTGGTGCCCCATTTTGACTCGACTTTTTCACCAATGGTGTTGAACTGTGAATATTCACCTCACAACTCACACCAGACAAAGCCACAATGAAGATCAACCAAAATACAGGTAAACATCACGCTCTTCATAAAATGCACATGCACTGATACGTAATAGCCATTTCAACAAGTAAAGCCTTGCTCGTTCCATACGAGGCGCATCATGTGAAGCAATACCACGCATGGATGCAAGATCCTGTAAGCTCTCAGCATCATCAGAACTTCAAGCACTAACACGACCCAGGATATCCAACAAGCTACTGCTTCAGAGCCCATGACTTTAGATGAGGAATATGAGAATCAGCAATCATGGCGCACATCGTCTGATAAACTCACCTTCATCGTCTGCGCACCGCTCACTGAAGATGTGTCACTCGTGAAAGCTGGAACCGCGGATGCAGACCCTCTCATGCGAGGTGATATCAACTTCTTTCTATATCCCTTTGAATCGGACGATGAAGATTCAGAGGCCAACACAGAAGGCTGGGTCACAGGTGAAGTAGACGTCATGATCGCATCGCCTTCACATCGCGGCCAAGGTTTAGGACAAGCAGCAGTTTGTGCACTACTCGTTTACATCCAAAAGCACCTAGACGAAATACTAGCAGAGTATGGAGCGAAAGAGCTGAAGGGCTTGATGGTCAAAATCAAGGAGGGCAACAAAGGAAGCAGAGCTTTATTTGAAAAGTTGGGATTCGTGCAGAAGGGAGAGGTGAATTACTTTGGAGAGATTCTCATGACTATTGATTGGGATGAGGTTTTGAGAAGGGATTGGTGGAAGGGAGCTGAGGAGGAGTTTAGAGAGGTGAGGTTTGAGATGGTTGAGTGAGGCCGTCTCGATGAGACAGCTATAGATATAAGCAGCTATTCAAGACGGCCCATTTCTGTTATGCCAAGTTAGCTGTAACTGATGAGCTTTTCCCAGCTTCATTTTTTTTTTCAGTCTTAAGTTCTGTTGAGCTATGAATCGTCTTGAATCGTTCAAGCCATATGTACCCGCTTCCATATAGATTGCTGGGGTCTTCCATCTTCATGCATGTTACTAGAGAGGCTGCCATCACATTGTTGTCATCTTTCTTACTGGAATCGTGGTGAAACTGTACTATATATCTACGAAAGAACTAATTTCTAAATCTAATTCTCCATCATTAATAGGCCAATCCTCCGTGATGCTACAACATACGATTAATGACATTCAACCTCTCATAGAAGCTAGACAAGCCATCTTCTTACAAGATATTCATGCAAGTTACAAATCATCACATCACAGCTTATCCATCCCCACACTTGGTCAAGCCATTGACTCTTCCCCTTAACCTTGCTTCACACCACAATCATCAACCTTCCTTATCGAACCACAAGCGGGGTTCCTAAACATCCACTTGTGCATATAGAATCTCCTCGGTGTTGCACACGAACTGACCGGTCTCTTTCTCCGCTTCCCTTCCGCGGACAAAGTTCCGCTGATCGAGCGATATATTGGGTGAATCTTATCAAATGCCAAGACCGAGGGTGGGATTTAGAGTTAGCGTTGCTTAAGCATAAATACAAGCATTGAACCCGACTTCCGACGGGTCATCGCTCCTCTTCAATTGCATCTGCGACTTCAATATGTATTCCAAGACTCTTTCGTTGAGCTTGCTTTTTGGCAACGCTGCCAGTGAAGTCATTCATGGCGCTGTAGTCTTCAGCCGTCATGGAGATCGTATGTCTAACAACTACTCAATTGATGAATCTCACTTACATAAATAGGAACTACAAAGTGGTACGGCGCTCAATCTCTCACTAGTCTCGGCGCAGAGCAGAATTTTCAAGTTGGAAGAGATTACCGTGATCGATATCTCGCTTCAGACTCTCAACATCGTATCTTGGGTATTTCTGAAGATGAATACAAGCCCTCTCAGATCTTTGCTAGTGCTCCTGATCAGGGCATTCTCATGAACACGGCCACAGCTTTCCTTCAAGGATTTTACCCTCCTCTCGCTGATCTAGACCCTGAAATTGCATCTCAGACTCTTAACAACGGTTCTGAGAGCCAAGCTCCTCTTGATGGGTACCAATATGTTCGTCTTCACACTATCAACGACAACTCACCAGACACCATCTGGATCAAGGGTGACGATGCTTGTCCCAAATATGTTACTGCCTCGAAGTCTTTCATGAAGAGCGATGTCTTCGCTCAGCGTGAGGAAGACACAAAAGAGTTCTACGAGCAATTCTACGATGTCCTCTCCGATGGCGTCTACAACCTTCGTCGGGAGAATATGACCTACAAGAATGCCTACAACATCTTTGATCTCGTCAACGTCGCTCGCATCCACAACAGCACCTCTCCAGCCCGCAACGTCTCAAACGCAGACCTTCTTCAACTCCGCACCCTCGCTGACTCTGCAGAATTTGGCCAAAACTGGAACGAGTCTGATCCTGCTCGAGCCATTGGCGCTGAGACTCTCTCTGGTGCTATTCTCAACCAGTTGAACCAAACTGTTACTTCTGAAGGAAAGCTCAAATTCTCTCTCTTCGCTGGAAGCTATGATACTTTCCTTGCTTTCTTCGGTCTTGCGGGTCTTATCGATGTATCTCCCAATTTCTACGGTCTGCCAGGCTATGCATCTACCATGGCATTTGAGCTCTTCACCGATGATAACACGGACAGTTTCCCCTCAGACCCAGAGGCAGATCTTCGAGTTCGCTGGCTCTTCCGCAACAGCACAGCCGGTGATCTCGAGACTTATCCTCTCTTTGGAACTGGCGAGGACTCTCTTCCTTGGTCAAAGTTTGTGACTGAGATTGAGAAGCGCGCTATTACGGATGTTGGGGATTGGTGCACCAAGTGTGGCGCCGATGAAGATTTCTGTGCTGCGTACAAGGACGACGATGAGAGTGCCGAGGGCGAGAGCGAGAACAAGACTTCTAAGAAGGGTGGTATGTCGAACGCAGTTGCAGGTGCGATTGGTGCTATGGTGACTCTTGGTGTTGTCGCTATCGTTGGAGCTGCTGCTTTTGTTCTCATGAGACGCAAGCGAACTGCCCCTACTGGTGAGAAGAGCAGCGTCCGCAGCGGAAGCACTGATGGAAATACGGCCAAGGTTTAAGATGCATGGTGATATGAAAAGGACTATATAAGAGATTGTACTCCCAACTTAGTTTAATGAATGACGATTGATACTCCCCCATCACTGACATCCACTTCAGTCTCTCTCCAAGCTAGATGTCTGTCGAGTCGCCCTATCGACAATAGCAAGCGCACCTCGAAGTTTCTCAATATCGTGTTCCAGTTCCTTTCGCCTCCTGGCAGTGTTCTCGTTCTCTCCGCTGACAATCTTCATTTCATCTTCCGAGAGACTAAGAATGCGGTTTGTGTTGAGACCCAGAACAGGCCCGTCTTGACCAGAGATGAATGACTCAATAACGGTGTTATTGATCGTACGAATAAAGGCGTCCAGGGAGAGCTACAGATGTTAGAATTTGCTCACGCTGAAGTGAAATGGCACATACCTTGTAATAAACCTTGAGGACATCGTGAACATCAAGAACCATGTTCTTACCTAGACTTGGGTGAACAGATTCAAAACACTTGGGAAGATCAAGATGTCCCGGATCGCAATCAACACAAGCATTCGTGAATCCCTCGTAAAAGCGAAGGATGCGCCAACCATGAATCTCATCCCCAAAGCGAGGCCCAGTGGATTGCAGTCGCACACATTTTGTCTCCATCTCGCATTGAGACTTACAGAGCTCTTCCGTTCGCTCCATGGACTCAGACCACGAAGCTTCCAAGAGTGTGGTCAACTCCTTCGACATAGTTGACGTGTCGCTTTCCGCAGGGCAGACATCGTTGAGAATGGAGGCAGTGCACCGACTGACGGCTTCTGCGACTCGCATGAGGTGGATTTTTGCAATTTGTCCCCATTTCTTGACTTGCTCTCGGTACATATCTGGGTAGATATCGGGGTTGATGATTCCATCGAGAAGAGATCCCTGGTAGAGTGCAAGCTTCTCTTGAATGGCACCCATAAGATTTCTTGTATCCTGAATATGTGACAAGCCAGGGAACGCCTTGTCAAGTGAAGCATCGAGTTTCGTCTTGCTGACATTGCGAACACGAGATGGCAACTGCTTTTCCTCGGCCCTGGCCTGAGTTTCGAGTGCCAGGCGTTCATCTAGCAGGACACGAGGATCAACTTCTGTATCCTCAAACTCCCAGGTGCCCCCTCGTGCTCGCATGAACTTGTCAAATTCAGCATTCAAGCGACTGACTTCTCTGCGAAGTTCCATGCTGTGGTCGAGAAACCCTGGACGGTCCAGAGCCGTCTGGGCCATCTCTTCGTATTTCCGAACAGTAGCGACAACGAATTGTTGTCTTGCTGCATGGCTAGTGCGAGGTTCTCCAAGCATTGTCTTCTCGTGTAGTCTCTCTTCAAGGTTATGCTGAATTGTACTGCGGAGTGTTGGGAAGCAATCACGTATCTTGGAGCTCAAAAGAGTACCAAGATATGACTTGGCTGCAGTTGAGCCTAGACGACTTTGAGAAACAGAGTTCCAGGGGCTCTTGCTAAACAGTTTCTTCTCTGCGGCGCTGAGGTCGAAAGAATCTGGATCTTTGTCTGCTCGATTGCGAACCAAAAACCAGCCACCAGGTAGGCGTCCGAGGCTATGAGTAGAGTTACCAGTTGCGATAGATACAATCTGTCTCAATGTTAGCAATGACATCAGAGTGTCATGGTTAACTTGCCCTCTTGGTCGCCTCTGGCTCATGTTGCACCATATCGCATTTTGTAAAAACGCCGACGAAGCGGTTTTGCTTGATAGGCTTCTTGGCTAGCCTCAAAATCTCCTGTCGATCAAAATCTGTAGGTGCATCGATAACGCAGCTTCAGTTGTTAGTATGATAGATCACTAATACCGTGCCAAGCTGACTCACATCACGATGTTGTCTTCGTTATTCATGTATTCCTTGACCATAGCCTCAACCTTGGCTTGATCTGTCTCGTTAACGGCAGAAGCATTTTGAAATGTGCCTGGAAGGTCGAGAATACTGAAATAGGAGCGGTGGGGGCCCGACAACTCAATCTTGAGGACCTCTGCCACGAAGTTCTTTCTGTCTTCTCCTAGTCCAGTCCGAAGACCCATGAATTCAGATGATATCTATGGGTGTTAGTTCATGTCTATCAAAGATGGAAGGCAAGCTACCTCTTCAATGACCTTGGCAAACCTTTCCTTGGTAAGAATCTTGCCGCTGCACTCATAGTTCTTGATGTTGTCAGATGCAGGGTCCAAACCAGGGACATCGACTTCAGCGGGATCAATAGTAATGCGGAATGAATCGTCACTGTCAGGTTCTGTGCGACGAGAGACAATGCGTGTGGGGAATCGAGTGCAGCAGCCACTATCGACTGGGAAAGGGATTCCAGTCAAGCTTTGAAGGAGAGACGACTTTCCAGAGGATTGTCCTCCCACAATGATGAGCTATGAACTGTAAGTACGGCGAGATCTCAAACACTTTAAGAATACATACCTGAGGAATGCTCAAGTCACCGGCACCAAAGGATTGTAGGGCATCAATTGCATCAAACAGGATGCGGTTATGCTGACTATCAAAGGGATCTTCGGGCATGATCTCTTGATTGGAATCATCGCGAGGTCTAGGTGAAGAAACTGAAGTTGGAGAAGGATCATAAAACACGTCTCCAAGGCTGGAATCGGTTGGAAACTTTCCAATCACTTTTCTTGGGCTCTCCTTGCCAGAAGTGAGGCTATCAAAACCTTTGTAAGGCGTTCGGGGAGGAGTATCAAGGGCGTGTGGGTGCATAGAGAGAACTTCAACAGGTCCAGCCATGATGAATTGATAATAATAACAGATGAAAAATGAAATAACAAAGGAAAGGTTCAGGCAAGGGTATCTTGAGATGAGATTGAAGCTGAGAATTGGATTGTCCTCTATGACTGTTGGCGGGAATTGAGCAGATTTATATCCTCCAGCACCACTTGGCCATCATATTGAACCAACAGACAAGCAACTCTTCGGTAGATTGAAACAAACCCATAGACTTTGCTGCCATCGCACCAGCTTCTCATGCAACTACGCGCCGGCCATCGGTTCACCTCCGCTAGGAGTCAAGGGTTTATTCAGCTCGAGTATATCTATTGCCAGATCAAGGCATCTCGGGAAGAAGTTTTGGGTAAAGCGCTTTCTTGGCACGTTAGAGATACCTTCTCAACCAACAATTGCGGGATCTCGGCTGTACGATGCAGGTGTTTGAGACCATTGTCGACCAGCATAAGAGCGAAGATAGGAACCAAAATAGTTCATAGCCAACATAGAGTTCAGGTGAAGGTCAAGAAGGGATCAACCGGCAGGTTTCGAAACGTCAAAATCTAGTTTCATTGGCCGCTTTGGCATATGCTGTTGGTTGTTGCAAGCACTCAGTCAACTACTTGCAGGGGGTTGAGCGCATAGCTGAGAGAGGCAAGAGATAACTCAAAGAGGCAACTCGAAAGATTAAATGTTTGATCTTATCGATCAATTCCCCTGCAGTTTTAAAAACGGCAACGCAATTGTTTCGAGTTGCATTTATGACAGGCCAGGGAAGCACGGGTGGCAAGGCTGCTCTCAGCTCTGCGAGCGCTTTATTGCTGAGCTAGATAGACAATACTCGCAATCAAGTGGTAGATTGACGACACTGTGACTTGTAAGCGCCCTCGATATACAAAAATGATAAGATCCCGGAAACAACGCATCCTCAGGGTCGTTATCCTGGCCGGAGGAGAAACACATCAACCAACAACCAACAACGGCGGTTGTTCAACTCGAGCAGCCAATTAGATTTGGTCATGCCATCTTCAACTTGGATCCAGCGAGATGTCTCTGACTCTAGCGTTGTTGTCGCTAACAATTTTCAGATGATCGTCGGCCTCATATTTCATTGACCATTGTGCTTTGTCGAGAGCTAGAGGATGAAACAAACTTAGGATAGCTTTGGGATGATTTAGGATAAACTTAGCCGGCTCTTTGATGAGTCGCTTTGTTGTGCAAGAGTGCAGCCAAGTGTTTCGATGGGTGTCCATGGGTCATCCAATAAATTGTGCTGAAGTTGGTGAGAGCTGTTGGCCAGTACCTTACTGTCATCCAAGTGACATGAGACGTGGCTCGTTCTTGGTGCATTTTAAACATAAAAACGTGATAATGAATCGAAGAAAATTGATATCATTTTTGAGAAACGTGCTGATGATAAATTAGGATGAACGGAAGGTTCAAGTGAAGCCATTGATGTAAAAAAAAGAGGTACAGGGTAATCGGCCCCACCTCGAAACAGCAGCGTCACTTTCGACTGTTGCCCGAAATTTCAACATTAACATCACCAACGACTCTACAGCCGTTGCATCAGCACATCACAAGCCGCAGTCTCAATTCTGCGCGCTCTAAAGAAATGAACACGATGCTATCTTCTATTGCTCGCCTCGCGCGCCCAGTCCTGGCCAAGCCCCTCGCTCAATCGCCCAGGTAAGCTCATCCGCATGCCTCTATCAAACCATCACTAATTCCATCAGGACATTTACAACCCTCGTCCCTCTCCGACCTTCGCTCACTCCCATGAACGGCGCTATCCGAAGAACCGCTCTTCCCTCGAGCTTCACCCCCTCGACAGCCGCATCAGCCGATATCGTTCCTTCGAGCGCCATCTCAGCACACCCTGCCCTCGGCGATATGCAAATTCGCTGCGGACCCCGAAATACCATGAACGGACATACGAGATTGGTTCAGAAGCGCAGACATGGATTCCTATGCCGCAAGCGAAGTAAGACGGGGAGGAAGATTCTCCTCAGAAGGAAGATTAAGGGCCGAAGGCATATCGCTCAGTAAGCCTGTGGTTATGGCATGAGGAGGTTGGAGGGCATGTGTCAATGAAGCATGAGCGAATTGTGTACGATACCAGAGAAGAGAGCGGAGACTTGGGTACAGATGCCTTAGTCTCCCTCGTGATACAAATCTGTACAAAGACCTACCAAAAGAAACAAAAGATCTTGCATTTTCACATCTCGGCGGAGTACCGAACTTGCATATTGCAGCTGAAGTTTAACCAGGGGATAATATCACGCACGTTTACGAAGGACCAGTTCCAGAACATTTCGGAATTTCAGAAAAGCTCACAGCCTGATGACGCTGGTCGACGTCGGTGTTGCAGCAAGGCCAGCAAGGCAGAAAGCTCCGAATTATTTGCACCTGACTTCGGAGAAAGTCTCAAATTAGAAAGATGAGATACAGTTCCGATAGACAGATGTAGTCCTGATTCGGATTCACCGGAGCTACCGTTAGTCAACACCATCACGATGAGCGGAATGTTCGAAACCCCGCATTTTGAAGTGAGGATCACAGGCTTCTTTTCAGGGACAAAGTGAATTGAGCTCTTATTCCTCGGCTTGGATTTTCTAGTGTGGTGGCCTGCATGTTCTTGGTGTGCCGATCATCAGGTACGCAGTAAGCGGAGAAGTAGGCTGTGAATTGGAGATGTCTATCACTGAGTGCTTTTGATAGGTGTCTATATGGAATTGTATACAGGCAGTTTGACTCAAAAACCAATTGTTAATGCTTATAAAGAACCACATAGTTTTGACTATCTGATCACAAGTCTATAGATGCAATTGCCATTATCATGGATGGATATCAACTGGCCTCAGCTTTTGAAAGTGATGATGATGACATTAGCGTCCAAGAGATGCAGCTTATGCCGGCCCGCCTTGCATTAAGAGGATGAGATGGTGTGAAGAGTGATGAAAAAGGTAGGTGTCAAGACTTGAGAATGCAGCTGAAATGTAGGAAGTGAATCATTCATGTAATCAGAGACATTTCATGTGATGTTGTACTACTCATTACCTCATGTTCAATCAACACCATATTCTTTTGTGATATTGAGAAATATGAATACTCGGGAATCTTGGTCTGGTAAATGCCAGATTGACATCAATTAATCGTGTAGATAACCTCAATGCAGTATTACCGCAATTACTGCACTTCCTGGGTTAGGTATCGTGTTCCCCAGATATCGGCACTTGACTCCAGATCAGTTAAACCGGTTTTTCCTCATAAACCCCACCTGACAAAAAGTCCCTTGTCCATAAAAAAGTAAACCTTGTCAACTCGTAAAGTTGAACGCTGCAAGCAATGGAAAAGTTGATAGCGGTCAAGGCTGAACTGAATTGAGCCGAGAAGGTTGCAACATGTTTCGGGGTATACTTCCGTTGATCGGCTCTGCAAGTGATATAGGTGATGCTCTGTGAAAGATGGTTGGTCAGTCGACTCGATATAGCTCGGGCGGTAAATCGTAACGTTTTATCTGGTAGTTTGTACTATAATTGGTTTGCTCATCACTGTGACACCAGAATTGTGATCTAATTATTGGATATCGACCAACCACTCTTACGATTCATACAAATCACCAGACTATTCTTGTTTATTTTCTCCTATTTTTCCAGTCTAGTTACCCTCAGAGAGCCCTACAGTCCCAACATTTTGACAGTCCCCATCGTAATGTAACAGAGACTAACAAAACCCCTGTAGCCCACCATCTTGATCACGACCCTCACGTGGTCCGAGATCGTCGTTACCTGTAAGGGAAGCTCATCCGGGCCCAACGACAAACGGACCAAGGAAAAATGCTGTCAGAGCCCGATGAAGGGGACCTTGTCTGCTGGGATCATGGAGCCAAGAATGCGGGGTGGGCAGTGTAGAACACACCATGAAGGATTAGACTGCCGTGATGCTTCATTTCCGTTGTTCGGTCCTGGGGCGGCGGTTATTACACCGACGATGTGAGGGTTTTGCCAAGATGGATGGGGGGAGCTATGGGTGGATGTATGAATGTGATGGGATGGGGATGCTATGGGATGAGTGACTGAGGGTGGGCGGGTATTGTGATGGGAGCTAGCTGTAGAAAAATGATATATAAATGTCTGGTTCTTCTCACGATGTCGATCTCTCAGTAGATCTCAAGGACAGCTTCAGCTTCAGCTTCAAAGCATCTCTAGGAGTTGCACCCCGCCAGCTTATCCTCACTTACACCCATACCTTGGACTCTATCCCTTGTCACGATGCTTCTTCTACCACTCCTCTCAGCTGTCACCCTCGCGGTAGCCAGTCCTGTAGCTCTCGAAGACTACGTCAACTCTCTCGAAGAAAGAGGTAAACATCATTCAGCCTCGGCCCATTCATAAGCTTACGTCCCTAGCTGTTGGTGTCACCACAACCGACTTCAACAACTTCAAGTTCTACATCCAACACGGCGCCGCGGCATACTGCAACTCTGAAGCCGCAGCTGGTTCAAAGATCACCTGCTCCAACAATGGCTGTCCAACCGTTCAGTCCAACGGAGCTACCATCGTGACATCTTTCATGTAAGTCGCACCCTGCACAAACACATCATACCCTTACTTACACATACAGTGGCTCCAAGACAGGTATCGGTGGCTACGTCGCGACAGACTCTGCCCGAAAGGAAATCGTCGTCTCGATCCGCGGAAGCAGCAATATTCGAAACTGGCTTACAAACCTCGATTTCGACCAGGACGACTGCAGTCTCGTCTCTGGATGCGGTGTACACTCTGGCTTCCAGCGAGCTTGGAATGAGATCTCGGCTCAAGCAACTGCTGCTGTTGCTTCGGCACGCAAGGCGAACCCTTCTTTCAAGGTCATTTCCACAGGCCACTCCCTCGGAGGTGCTGTAGCTGCCCTTGCTGGCGCAAACTTAAGAGTCGGTGGTACACCCGTCGACATCTACACCTATGGTGCTCCCCGTGTCGGAAACGCACAACTCTCAGCCTTCATCTCAAACCAGGCTGGTGGAGAATACCGTATCACACACGCCAAGGACCCTGTCCCTCGTCTTCCCCCTCTGATCTTCGGATACAGACACACATCCCCCGAGTTCTGGCTGTCCAACGGTGGTGGCGACACGATTGACTACACCATCAGCGATATCAAGGTCTGTGAAGGTGCTGCCAACCTGGGATGTAACGGTGGTACTCTTGGTTTGGATATTGATGCTCATCTGCATTACTTCCAGGCGACTGACGCTTGTAACGCTGGCGGATTCTCTTGGAGACGATACAGAAGTGCCAAGACCGAGAGCGTCGACAAGAGGGCTACCATGACTGACGCTGAGCTTGAGAAGAAGCTGAACTCTTATGTCCAGATGGATAAGGAGTATGTGAAGACTCACCAGAACCGCTCTTAACAAGGGTATGATGTTTAATGGGAAACGACATGATTCATGAACGAAATCATAGTACATATGATGCAAATAGGATACAAAAGAACATATTTCATTCAACCTAGCTTTACACATTACCGTGCGCCATGCAATGCCCTGCTACTGACTCAAAGGCCATGCTCAGATTGTTTCATAACTCCAAACACCAATCACCACGCCCTGTATCACACAAGATTAATCATGAGATCCCTCGACCACCATGCCTTGAGCATTCGGAACACCAACAAGGATGACGCCACGAGGTACGCGGACCTCCTTGACCTTCATGCATCCAAAAACGTTGACCTCTCGGATCTTGGGACAAGATCGGAAGATAGACCCCAAAATGAAATCAGTCACCTCTTCGCAGAAACTGATTTCCAGCTCCTTCAACTCTGGATACTGAGCATCCTTGTGGAAGACCTCTTCGAAAGCCTCGCGTGAGATGTGGCGGCAAGCATGGATGTTGAGGTACTGAAGCTTATCACCCGAATGGGTCATCAACGCCTTGAAACCCTCGCTGCAGAGTCCAACGCTATCTGGGTTCTCTCGAGGCTTACTTGCATCAATCTGTCGACATTTCTGGAGATCCACAAAGTGTAAAGCAGGATTGGCCCAGTTGGTGAAGAGATCAACAAAACCCTGGTCAGTCATGAACTCACTGTCTGTGATTCGAAATTTGGAAAGGGAACGACAATGTTCCTGAATAGCCTGCAACAACCCATCGTCAACTTCGGGAACAATCTTCAGAGACAAGGTCTTGAGTTTGGCACCGATTTTCGAGACGACTTCAATGTAAGCGTCGGATTCAGTCTTGTGCTGTAATTGAAGTCCGAGATGCTCTAGAGCCGACAGACTTGCGATCGTTTTGACACCGTCGTTGGTCAGCTTTTGGTTATTCTCAACCTTGAGTCGCTTGAGGTTGGGGCAATGATCTCTCAGCATGGCTATGGTTTCATCGCCAAAGTGATTGTCTGTATAATAGACTTGGATACCCTTCAGCTTTTCGCCTTTCTCCTGGATGAACTTGTGCCACTTTTCGTCGCTCAAAAGGTTGGCTCCGTGAAGATAGAACGTTTCAAGATTGATATCACGGGACAAGAGGTAATCCATGACCTCGTCCTTGAACTGGATACCACATCGGATCTTGAGATTACGAAGCTTTGAAGCCGTCTGAAAAATGGAGATATAATCTTGTCCACCAAGCTTTGCACCATCGTAGATATGGAGGTCCTCAGTGCCGGGCTGAACAAAAAGCGGTAAAGTCTCTGGCTTGAGGAGTCGACGCTTGGAGAACATGCGTGCAATCTTGTCGATCAAATGATCCGGGAGGTCTCCAAGACTGTCGGCCAGATCGACGTTTTTGGCCAGAGTCTGTACACACAGAGTGGCCAAGCTCTTGGTACCAACATCGCCGTCAAGTATTCGGCTTTGAATGGCTCGACGTCTTCCAACAGGACCCGTATTGACCGGCTTCTTCGGCTTCTTTTTTTGTCCGCCTTCTCGTTCTTTGGCGATCTCCTTTCCGCAAGGAGGACAAAGAAGTCCTCCATTGGGACCAGCGACCGAGTAAGGCGTGACAGTGAATCGTTTCTCGCAAATTTCGCAGTTCTCTATCTGTCCTGGCAGAGGACCAGAGTTCTGTTCCATAAGCGCACGAGCAATTTCGTCATCAGATAAGTCTGATCGTTGCTTGCGCTTCTTGAAGGCTTTGCTCTCCTTGATCTTTGCGAGCTTCTTCTCTTCTTCTCGCTTGCGCTTTAGGGAAGCTTCGTCATTGTTGTTGCGACTAGAACGTCGCCCGGATCTGGCACCTGCTGCAGAAGACTCGCCGTTCCCGTTTTCATCTTGGGCTGCATCCTCACGTGCAGCTTGTCGGCGACGTGCTTCGGCATCTGAGCGGATCTGAGCAGCAGAGATGTTGTGCGACTAATACGGTCAGGATGCTCCAGCGATGTGCCCTTTTACAACAGCTATAAACTTACAGCAAGGAAGTCAGTCAGCGCTGATTGACTATTGAGATGTTAGTATAAGTAATATGGCTGAAAAAGGTATTTTACTTACGGTCCATAGACAGCGCGAGCTTGTCGATTGGATTGATTTTGCTGGCCATTCTGACCGGTTTGACCGTTTGGGCCAGCTTGACCGTTTTGGCCTTGAGCATTCTGGTTGTTACTGCGTGCCCGCGCCCTGTATATGATAAGTTTATCGCCACTCTATGGGCATGAGAGAAACCTACATGATGGAGGAATAGCGAGTGACCTAGGAAAATGAAAGATTTACAAAAGAAAATATTCCTCAGTCTTCGGCGACCACATTAGGCACCCAGTTATTGAAAGGGAGGAGGAAACCAAGCTTGAAAGGGAGTTGGCGCAAAAAAGTAAATTCAAAGGCAGCTCGGACAAGTGCAGCGCCGTGCAGTGGCGTTCCCGCTTACGCTTTCTTTCACGAGATTGACACCGTGTCACGTGATGAAATCGCCCCTTGAAGTGGCAAATCGAAGATCCCAGCATCAGGGTACAGAATTAAACCGCAGCGACAATCTACTGCCGTTTGCAATATCGGATACTGCGGGTTTCAGAACATATTAGGAGATCAAACTGCAGAGACTAGTATTATACGGAGCAAGGTTTTTATCAGCATGAGCCTTGCTGTATAATGAGCCGTGGATGAACTCTTAATCTATGATGCAACCTATGGTGAATGGTTCTTGTAAGTGGGATTGACCAATCTTTTCTGTCCCCGATCCTGCCAGGAACGATGCACCCCAATCAGATCGACAATCAAAACCCCCTGGCCCCTGACACGTGCCTGCGCGTAGCGGGGTGCTCCTTCCGACACTGTGAACCGTGAATCGGGGTATCAACAGGGAGCAACGCCCCGAAAAAAGGAGCTGGTGGCGATTTGCCTTTAACTTCTATCTGACTTTTTCCTTCATCATCACGTTTTCATTATTCATCCGTTTGGGGTCTTTTTCACCTCATTGAACTAATTTTGTCAATATCGGTGGCTTGTTTGTGCGATTGGTCTTTTGTTGTTGCCCGCAGTCAATCAATTTGTATCTATTCACGGTCACTGTCCAACACTGCATTCACGGCTGTGCATTAGTGAGCTGCCAACAGACAGGGGTTCAATTGCCGCCCTTTGCCTTCCACCAGGCTCCCATCGTTTGACCTCAATTCCCCGAAAGAAAACACCATCAAAGACTTTTACTCTCTGTCCTTCATCGTGTAGCTGTGCACTTAAGAGTCCCATTCGGAGGGCGATAAGCCGTCTCGCCGCACATCGCATTCAAATCAGCAGAACATCCTCCTGGACCAACATGCCTCGAGGTCGCCCTTCCACTCGGGGTACGCCCATCACTACAGCAGATGGTAAGTCTTTGGTTTTCATAACTGGTTATTATTTCTCACTCACACATTCTAGCTTCTAGAGATACATCTACTGCTTCTAATCGAATGACCCGCTCAGCCAGGACTAGAAGTCAGGCTGCCTCATCTATGCCAATTCCCACCCCAGCTGTAGATATTCAGCAAGATGCCCCCTCTGGATCACGTCCAAGAGGAAGACCTAGGAAGAGTATCCCCGAAGTTGAGGCATCACCTCTGCCTCAATTTCCCACTCCTGACATCGCACTTCCCACTAAACGACGTGGCCGCCCAAGCAAAGCACCCGTTATTGAGAGCGAGTCGGTATCATCAGTTCCTACGCCACTAGAACCAGATACAGGGAGCGATTATTCAACTCCTGCGTCTAGCAAAGTACCAACCCCGGCAGCAGTCGATCATGATAAATCAACTATCTTTGAAGTCCAGCTTCCTGCTCCTTCTACCTCTCGCCCTGTTGACCGCGAGAGAGGTCTGCGCAATAGCGCATATTCTATGAACTCAACAAGGGCCAAGGGTCGGATGCTGATTGAAGACTCGGACGACGATGATTTTGACAATTATCGGGACGCTCAAGTAGCTCGTCGCCTCCAGGATGAAGAATTCAAGCAGGCATCTAGTGCCGCATCATCATCACTTCCCTTACGAAGAAGTACCAGACCTTCGCTCTCTAGTAGCTTTACCACTCCCGCTCAGACTTCTGTCAAGCGAGAACGAGCATCGACATTGACTGACTCTACCGCCAAGCGTGGTCGCCCAGCGAAAAAGCCTAAAGTTATCGCCGACTCAGATGACGAGGACATTGACATGGATGCGGAGATTGCCCAAGGGCTCGACCTGGACAGCGGTTCGTCATTGAGCTCATACGAGGATGAATCCTTTGCCGACGATGACGCTAGCGATAAGGAAGAAGCTCAATACATCTCCAGTGATGATGAAGACGTTCCAATGGCTATGTCGAGAAAAGCGGCCGGAAAGCGGCCAGCACGTCCCATTACACGTACAGTACCCCGTAGCAAGGCAACTGCTACGACATCGGTACGCTCCGCAGCGAAAGCCGCGAAAGTTGAGAGCCCGTCGGGTGATGAACTCGATGCACTGGAAAACGCTCTGGGTGATGCCGAGTCTACAGACTTTGCGACTGATAACAATGATGGCTATATCGACTTGAGTAGTAGCGATGCTGAGGCAGATGAGGCCGATAACAGAGACCATCTGGCGACTATCGCCAACAGCCGAAGGGCATTCAGGAACCAGGGCATGAGCAGACGTGCCATCAGAGAACGAGAGCGTTTGGAAGAAAACCACCCTGAGATCAGAGGCATGTGGGACAAGCTGGAAAAGGAACCAGTGATCAAGGCTGGGAAGGCTACACAGCCGGAAAGAATTTCACGCCAACTCAAGCCATTCCAACTTGAAGGTCTTGCTTGGATGATGGAGATGGAGAAGGCAAAATACAAAGGTGGCTTGCTCGGCGATGAGATGGGATTAGGCAAGACAATCCAGGCTGTGTCTCTCATTATGTCCGATTTTCCCGCTAAGCAGCCGTCGCTGGTTCTCGTGCCTCCTGTTGCGCTCATGCAATGGCAGCAAGAGATCAAGTCTTACACCGATGGCGCTTTGAACACATTTGTTTTCCATGGAACAAACCAGAAAGCCAAGGGAATTACGGTGAAGGAACTCAAGAAATTCGACGTTATCATGATGTCGTACAACAGTCTCGAGTCAGTCTATCGCAAGCAGGAAAAGGGGTTCAAGCGCAAAGATGGCATATACAAGGAGAAGAGTGCTATTCATGCGATCGATTTCCATCGAGTTATTCTGGACGAAGCACACTGTATCAAGACACGAACCACCATGACGGCCAAAGCATGCTTTGCTCTCAAGACTAACTTCCGATGGTGTCTGACGGGCACGCCTCTGCAGAACCGCATTGGAGAGTTCTTCTCTCTAGTTCGTTTCCTTCAAGTCGACACCTTCGCGTCCTATCTCTGCAAGCAGTGTCCTTGCTCCACGCTCGAATGGTCGATGGACGAGCACAGTCGCTGCACTGGGTGCAAGCATCCGGGAGTACAGCATGTTTCTCTCTTCAATCAAGAGCTTTTGAACCCTATTCAGAAACATGGGAATCGGGGCCTAGGCGCAACGGCTTTTAAAAACCTGCGTTTGATGACAGATCGCATCATGTTGCGTCGCCTCAAGAAAGACCACACCGACTCTATGGAGCTTCCCGTCAAGGAGATCTATGTTGACCGACAATTTTTTGGAGAAGAGGAGAACGATTTCGCCAACAGTATCATGACAAATGGCCAGCGCAAGTTTGATACGTATGTCGCCCAGGGTGTTCTCTTGAACAACTACGCCAACATTTTTGGCCTCATTATGCAGATGAGACAAGTTGCCGACCACCCTGATCTCCTCCTGAAGAAGAACGCTGAAGGAGGACAAAACGTGCTCGTCTGTTGCATCTGCGATGAGCCGGCCGAAGACACGATTCGTAGCAGGTGTAAGCATGATTTTTGCAGAGCCTGTGTCGGTAGCTACGTCCGCTCTACTGATGAACCTGATTGCCCCCGTTGTCACATTCCCCTCTCGATTGATCTGGAACAGCCAGAGATTGAGCAAGATGAGAATCTTGTCAAGAAAAACTCCATCATCAACCGAATCAAGATGGAGAACTGGACCTCCTCATCCAAGATTGAACTTCTTGTCCATGAGCTACACAGACTTCGCTCTGACAACGCCTCTCACAAGTCGATCATCTTTTCTCAGTTCACTACCATGCTACAGCTCATCGAGTGGCGTCTTCGTCGGGCTGGTATCACTACAGTCATGCTTGATGGTAGCATGACTCCTGCTCAACGACAGGCCTCGATCGAGCATTTCATGAGCAACGTGGACGTTGAATGCTTCTTGGTTTCCCTGAAAGCTGGTGGTGTGGCACTAAACCTCACCGAAGCCTCTCGAGTCTTCATTGTTGATCCGTAAGTATCTGAAGCGAGCATTCTTATTTGAGCTGTTGCTAACAATTAAATAGATGGTGGAATCCAGCTGCTGAGTGGCAGTCGGCTGATCGATGCCATCGCATTGGACAGACCCGGCCCTGCACGATCACCCGCCTGTGTATCGAGGATTCTGTCGAAAGTCGAATGGTGTTGATTCAGGAGAAGAAGACTAACATGATTCACTCCACTGTCAACGCGGACGACAAGGCCATGGAATCGCTCACCCCCCAGGACATGCAATTTCTCTTCCGTGGTTCGTAGATGAACTGGGACAAACGGCACAGAGCAAAGACGTCTACAAAAACTAATTGATTTTCATGAAAACACGGGGATATGAATCTGTACAGTATGTGGCATTGGCCACCAGACATGCAGGGAGTATGCATGGAGTTTGGAGTTGACAGCAGCAAAGCTGCTTTCATTTAAGATAAGAACGATTTGATTTTGGTCTCAGAGATTAAAACATGCATAAATTTAGTGGACGAATAAAAGTCTCTGAGAAAGTCTGTGACCTTGTGATTTACAATAAATGCGGGTACCGTCGTACAGGATGTCTGGCAAGGGGCGTTACAGAGGTGCATGAGATTGACAGTTCAGAAATTAATTGTAGTCTAATGTCTGTCTATTTAGCTTTTTTCTTGTTTTTAAACATCGACTGTCAACTTTTGTGTTGCTATTATCATCGGCCCATGATGAGTCTCAAAAATACGGACAAGAAGATTCTGCAAAGAGAATACGAAAGAAATGTTTTCGCTAGCCATTGAGGTGCAAGATCTGGTCTAATTAAAATCACAAACCAAGAAGGGCCTTGGCACCAGGCTCGCTGCAGACGTAGATAACGTCGTGGGCGTTGGAGAAGCCGTTGAACTGAGTGGCAGAGCACTTTGTGTAGGCACCCATGTCCTCAAAGTACAGCCAGTCGCCGACATCAAGGATCGAGTCGAAGCGGGTGCTCTCGGTGATGCGGTCGATGCCATCGCAGGTAGGACCCCAAAC